ACTCATGCATGGTGGTGGCATGATATGTGAGTCTTGCCCACTTGCAATTTTTCTCTTAGGTCGGCTCTGTAAATAGTTCAAACTTTTCTGTTGCATACCAGCATACCATTTATATACTCTTAGTTGTCCTTCCGTATCGATGCCTTGATTTTTTTCCCTCAAACAGATCCCTAATGTTCAAAAAATCAAACAATCTATTCTATATATAATTCAGTTTTAAAAATCTTTGTACAACTAAATCTAGAGTTCTACTGGACCGATTTTATTAATTAATGGGTCGTTGGGGAAAGCTCAATTCGTGTAGATTTGCAAATAATTATGAAAGTTTGCTTTTGTTATGATTTATGGTGAAATATTTCAAAAAACATGTTTTCCATAAGAAATACATTGAAAACGGTGTTTTTCACACTTTTTATTTGGGTGAGACTTTTGGCGGCCTTTTTTGAGTGTTTCCAAGAAGTGTATGGTATCAATTTGTAGGAAATTTTATTCTCTTTCAGAATATCACCTTCCATTTTGGTCGATTTCCTTACCATTTAAAAGTTATTTGCAAAAAAGCTAAGCAACCTCCGAATTTATAGTAATGAGAAAATACTGAGTTAGGGATATTTTTTTTAAACTTTGTACAACTAAATCTAGACTTCTAGCAGACCGATTTTGTTAATTAATGGGTAATTGGAAAGCCCAATTCATGTAGATTTGCAAATGATTATGAAAGTGTGATTTTATTAAAATTTTGTGGTAAAAAAGAAAAAATAACAAAAATACATTAAAAATTGCTTTTTTTAAGTTTCTGTTTTCAAGTTTCTATTTGTAGCCAGCTTTTGGCTGCCTTTATTAAGCGTTTTCTAGAAATGCATAGTAGTTGTTTGTAGTAAATTTTATTCTCTTTCAGAATATAACATTCACTTTGGTCGATTTTCCATCCATTTAAAAGTTATTGGCAATAATCTATGTGATCTCCAAATTTATAGTGGTGAGAAAATACTGAATTAGTTATATTTTTGTTAAACTTTGTACAACTAAATCTAGACTTCTACCGGACCGATTTTGTTACTTAATGGGTCGTTGGAAAGCCTAATTCGTGTAGATTTGCAAATAATTATGAAAGTTTGATTTTATTACATATTTGAGGTAAAACAATGAAAATAAACAATATTACATTTAAAATGCCTTTTTTTCTAAGTTTATATTTTCAAGTTTATATTTGTAGCCATCTTTAGGCTGCCTTTATTGAGTATTTTCCAAAAATACATAACAGTAATTTGTAGGAAATTTTATTCTCTATCAGAATATTACCTTCCACTTTGGTCGATTTCCTCACCATTTCATAGTTATTTGCAAAAACGTTAAGCAACCTCCCAATTTATAATGGTGAGAAAATACTGAACTAAAGATTTTGTACAATTAAATCTACAGTTTTACGGAACCGATGTTATTAATTAATAGGTCATTGGAAAGCCTAATTCGTGTAGACTTTCAAATAATTATGAAAGTTTGATTTTTTTTTATTTACTAGGTGAAACCCGTCAAAGTCTGACAGTTGCTGTTGAGGTTGCAGGAAAGACCGTTTGACTATAAATCGATGATAAAGAACTCCATTTTTTTGTTAATTTGGGTTGTTCGTGATTTAGCAGTGTGCTTTAGGTACGTCCGATCTTAATAATCAATAATTAAAATGGAACCTGGTATTTCACTGAAGGTTCTTAGGTTAAAACAAATAGAATAACGTAATTAGAATTGAGTAAATATATCTAAAACTAAATTCCATATCCAAGATATAATTAAATTTATGTTTTCTGATTGAGCGATTCAGGATATCTTTAACTTAACTGATTAAAACTATCAATATCTCAAGTGAAAGCCTTTGAAGTATTTTAAGACCAAGACATATAAAATAACTTAAATAAAATTTGAGTTACGTATCTTAGATTGCAGATAAGTACCTAAACGATTATAATTTTTGTTGATTCGTGATTCAGCAGTGTGCTTTAGGTAGGATTATTAAGATTGGAATCTTAATAATCAATAGCTCAAATGAAAGCTGGTATTTCACTAAAGGTTTTTAGACCAAAACATATAGGGTTATGTAATTAGAACTGCTGGAATACATCTTTAATTGAAGTAAAAAATTAAAAAAATCAAATTTATATTTTTTTTGTTGAGTAATACATTAGATAAATTAATAATGATGCTTGATGACAAATATATGCTTGCATTGCTTAATTTTTTAAGACCAAAATTATGAAAATCAGGCTGGTAGAAGAGCCAAACGAACTCGAAAAAAAAATTTAACTCCCATAAGAAATGTACAGGGACGCATTTTGTGCATAACTCGAAATATACGTCAAAATGAATGCTGATGATTGATGGCAAATCTGTGGTGCGTCCATACCTTTAGTTTAGGGCCAAAATTATGCAAATCGGTCGGGTAGAAGACCTTTAACCCGACTCAGAAAAGAAAACCAATAATTTTTATAGATGGCAATAATTTGTTTACCAGTATGCATAATCTAAACATACGAAACATGTGTTAATAATTTAACAGCTTATTGTTAAATTGTTATTTAACTGATTTTTATTTGATTAAATGTTGTTGTTAACAATTTGCATTTGTGTTTAAAGTGAGTTCCTTATGTTAAGTATGCGATTCTAATGCTATGTGCTTAATCTGTACCATTAATATTAGTGAGTAAAGTGATGTATGGATTTCACAGCCATTATTTTACTAGAGACCGTTGTATTTAACCACAACGGGCTCTGTAGCTAGTTGATCTATAACTCTCAAAAACTCTATTGTTGCCTCACAGCCATTGAAATCAGGGTCATCATTCTTTAGTAAAAACCCTAGAGCGTCCGCCACGCTTGAACTTAAAGTCTATGCAGCAAGTTTTACATTCATTTTCTTATTTCTATAATATATATGTTTGTCGGACAGTTTATTGGCTAAACTAAGACCCTCCTCATTTTGTAGAGAATTGAGTCTTTGTAGAACCCTGTAATCGAGAATAAAAGTCGCAGATTCAATGGTACTGTACCCTTATCTGCTAAAATATTCCTAGCTAGTTTTAGCATGAGGCAAGCGTCTAACATTATTATAACCTATGATATATATTCTATACTATTTTGGTTTACATTAAAAAAGGACGTGCTGGTAATTCGCATCCAAGCTTTTTCATTAATCATTGCTGCTATGTTTGAACTTGTTCCATCAAATGTAACATTATGGACTCAAATGCCAACTTCAAACAACTTTAATACACACGTCTTAACTAGTTTACTTTAGGTAAGACTTCAGAGCTTATCTTGTCCATAAAGAAGTAACCAACAGCACATTTAAAATTACCTCTTAATGCTACTACAATTTCAAACACTAATGATGCAGTAGCCAGTCTCAGAATCCCCCCCCCCCCCAAATTAAACTCATTACCAAAGTTATAATATATTCAAAATTCTTAGCGACATGGTGATCGTATATGATTTGCTTTTGAATGCTTATTGCATCAAATACAAAGTTAACATTTTTTAAACATGTAGAAGAGCTGACATTCTGACAAATATTGAATCATTTCTTATTACTTAATCTTACATCATCTTTACCACTAGCGCGGCATGTGGGGTCTCACGTTAGATCCCACATGCTGCCTTCAATTCGCCCAAGCGGCAACTCCGATACACTGCTATATTAGCTTGGAAAGCTCTACATGAGCCTTATGGCCTGTGCACAATCCAGTTAGTTTTAAACATCGGTGTACTGAACAAATATTGATAAAAACTACATTAATAGAAAGAAAATGTCATAAACTTTTCTTAGATACCCCTACAAGTGCTTGATGTGCCATCCATTACCCATGGAACAAGTTTCCAATTGATGTTGTAAATTGGCATGAGGTTGTAAATTGGGCCGGTGTAGGCTAGTATTGAAAGGCTGGTTGAATCTAAGTTGATGCGAATGCATTCACGTGGCTTTGAAGATTTTGGAGCATTAGCGGCTATACACTTTGTTCTTATTTTAGCCCCAGGGAAAAAACACCTGCATAACACACGCTGCAAATGTCAATGATAAACTACAGTTTTATACAGTACAATTAAAATACACAAAAGGTTTTCTCATGTATAGTAATAATTTTTATTTAGATGTAAGTAAACCCAAGAAAATGGCAAGAATGAGTATTGAACAGCTGATAATAACAATTGAAAACATGCTCTTTAATAATATGTGAAAATTATCAACGGGGGATAAGAAATAAGTGAGATACATGACATTAAAACCTGCTGAACCATTTATAAACACCCTGTATTTTATTACTGATAGTTTTCATGACAGTAAACATTTCTAGAGTAATAGCAAAAAAACCCCTTCCAAATAATAAAATAAACTCCTCTTGTAGAGAGTTAACTATTCCAGAGCTGATGAAAAATTTACAAATAGGTATTCTTCATGCTTGATGACTCAAAGGGAAATAAAAAATCTCCTAGTTCAAATCATATTTAAACAAGAAAAATAATATATTGCACAAGAGCTTAGTCTAGTTACGCTATCTGTGGTTTCAGACCTTATGCTTAAAAAAAGTAGGTACTCAGTTCAGAAAGCTTTTTTTTTGTTTCTAGAAAAAATAAATGTATTTAATATTTTGAATTTATAACCCTGCAAGAGTTAAACAAGTTATTATAAGTCAGTACAATAGAGAGCTCACAAAATGCAATAATAGGTTGGCTAATATAAATGGTATCTACAATACTAGTAAATCACTCAGTTTTTATTTTAAGCTGAAATATTGTAAAGGTAATACAACATTATCAAGCCTATAATCACTGCATCACACTTTCTAATTAATAAGTAATTCTTCGCACACCTAGAAAGTACTTTGTTGTTTGACTTCTGCCAATGTAACTTGTAACTATATTGCCTCTAAAAATATAAAATTCCCTTATAGAAAACTAAACTCTCAGTGGCATTAGAAAATAAAAATAACGGGGAATTTAAATAAAGACAATAATTCAATTAAAACCCAACACTTGTTAAGGCATAGATCGCAGTTAGTTGCATTTTATCACAGCAGATTGTTTGAAAGACATAGAGTAGAATAAAATCCAAATGGATCAATGAGCACAACATTTACAAATAAAAATAAATATTCTCCATGGTCATTCCAATATTTGCACAAGATTATTTAAAGATATGGCACTATTTCAGTATTTTTAACAGCATACAACGTATATTTTATCACAAACCAAATAAAAGTTACTGTAATTGAAAACTAATTATTTTAGCTTATTTACACTAAACTAAGACATATCTATTCTAAAAAGACCAAACAAACTCAGTAAAATATAACAGTGATATAAACATGACAAACTGGCATCTTTCTTTACACGCATCAAACACTTTACTTACCATTTCAAACGAGGCACAGTTAGTAAAAATCCTGCTGAACAAAGCGGGACCCACCCATAATAATTGGTTCATAATGGAAAGGAAAGCACTTTGTAACGTAAGCAAGAACAAAGAGTAGAGTACCTACTCTAAGGGAGGTATTATTTACCTGAATAAAAAATTACAATAAATATAAAAACTAAACAAATGTTTGGGTTCCATATAAATAATAATTGTTTTTGCAGTACACGGTTTTGCTTGGAAACATGTTGTTTTAGTAGTGTACGAAGTTAGAATTTGTATAAAACAATGAAGAACTTAGCGGTGCTTACAAATAGGGCGTACCCGATGCGACAACAGTGATATGATATGATTGGTTATTATAAACAACATTGCTTTATACATGTGACATCCCATGAAATGTTAACCAATTGCGTTCACCCAGCAATTACACCCAGGGAGGTTTCTTCACATAAAAAATTGTCTTCCTAGAGGACAAAAGGCAGTAGCCTAATAGCTATTTACCTTACAAGTGTAGTAAGAACGTTTTTACATCACGCAGGTGAATGTTGTGCAACGAGCAGAAGGGAGTTGCATAATTTGCCTAAGTGATGTAAACACGCTTTTGCGAAACGTGTAACGTACAAGATTTTACCTGACCCGACAATATACAGGGGGTTACGTGCAATATTTTTCACTATCCATTTCACTCATCTTCTAACAGTAACGTTCTTTTACAAACAAAAGCTAGGTTAGGAAAATTCTTTAAAGCATAACAATAAAATGCAAGCACACAGCTGATTTCTAGCGTTATACGTTGTTGACTCCAAAGAGGTATAATTTTTTAAGTTGAGCACTCAATGTTATTTAAATGGATTTCATTACTTCACCGAGTGAGTTTTTAAAACACTTCACTCGTGAAGTAAAGAAGTTGTATTCATCACGCTTGGGATAGGGAAGTTATACTGTAATGGCGGGTTAGGTAAAATCATTTTAGTGACATCAAGATACCAATAATTTTCTTCAGCAATGGTGTTTTTTTTTAGCCATGGAGTATGGTATGAATAAATAAGTGAACATGTGCAATCACACAAACAAATAAAAAGATTAAAATATACAAAGACTCATTTGCCTTCTCTAATGTGTAAAACATGTAAACCCTAAACATTGTATAAACCCATTCAATGTACAGTCAAAACTCTAGTTTTATTTTTATTGATAAACCTATTACTAGAGATTAAAAGCTAGAATGATTTTTGATAAAAAAAAGTAAATAGTATTTCTACATCACACGCTATAAACACACAGCTTTCCATTAGATAAAGTTTAGGCTATTACTATTCAGGCTCGACTTGTATAACCAATCTTTTTTTAACCTAAGCGGTTAAATTTATTTGACAAGCTATACGAGTATTGTTTTTGAAATCTCAAATCACTTTTTCAAACAATATCATCTACAGGTACTGTGATTAATTTAGAGACAAACCGCCAGTAAATTTAACACTCTCAATGAAAACAAGTTACCGATAACTAGAAAACAATATAAAATTCTAGTCTAAGATTGTTACGAGTTTGGGTCATCTTCTTGATTGTCTGATAAAGGTGTTTCTTCTTCTTTACCATCAGCAGTTTGACTCAACTCTCTGAAAAAATACATATGTATATCAAAGTCATGTAGGAAATCATCCTTAAGCAGCTTATAGACAGGGACAGTAGAGACGGCAAGTAGCTGGCTGCAAGTACTTGCCATTTGCACTTACTGCATACTTTCCTTTTGTATAGGCGTACTTTCCTTTCCAGCGGCAAGTATTTGCTGGCTGTAAGAAAACTCAAACATGTTTGATTTTACTGGACTGGCCGCAGTAGTGGGTCACGTGACCACTGGTGGCCAGGACTTTCCTGTCAAAACGTGTACTTGCCGCCAATAGAGCAGAGTGGCAAGTGAAATTATAGTTGGATCAGTTGATCGTGTTTATAGAAGTGACAAAGTTGTTTGTTAAAAGTACAAAGTTCGTTTGTTTAAAATGTCAGAGTGCCCTGTTGAGAAGAAAAAAAAAACATCAAGTGGAGTTGTGATGACATCATCAAGTTTTTAGAGATCTATCAGATCCAGAACAACAACACATTCAGCAATTGCTTCATTAAACGTTTTACAAAATTCTTCATCACAATCAGGCATTCTAAACACAATTAAATCCAACTATCGACTCCATTCACTCGCGATTTCAAAGCAGACTGGCTGTAAGCTCTTTTCTTGACACTGGCCACCAATACTTAGCCAGTGTATAGGAAAACATACGGCAAGTGACGTAAAGGACAGTACTTGCAGCCAGCAACTTGCCGTCTCTACTGTCCCTATCTATACGTTGCTTTAAAGCCATGTTTGTACGAGGCCAGTTGGCGGGCAGGCTACTTGCCTCAGGTAACTTGAAATACAGAGGCAAGTAACCTGTCTACTCTACTGACCTCGTGAAAACAAAGCTTAAAGCTGTATTTACATGAGGCCAGTTGGCAGGCAGGTTACTTGCCTCAGGTAACTTGAAATACAGAGGCAAGTAACCTGTCTACTCTACTGACCTCGTGAAAACAAAGCTTAAAGCTGTATTTACATGAGGCCAGTTGGCAGGCAGGTTACTTGCCTCAGGTAACTTGAAATACAGAGGCAAGTAACCTGTCTACTCTACTGACCTCGTGAAAACAAAGCTTAAAGCTGTATTTACATGAGGCCAGTTGGCAGGCAGGTTACTTGCCTCAGGTAACTTGAAATACAGAGGCAAGTAACCTGTCTACTCTACTGACCTCGTGAAAACAAAGCTTAAAGCTGTATTTACATGAGGCCAGTTGGCAGGCAGGTTACTTGCCTCAGGTAACTTGAAATACAGAGGCAAGTAACCTGTCTACTCTACTGACCTCGTGAAAACAAAGCTTAAAGCTGTATTTACATGAGGCCAGTTGGCAGGCAGGTTACTTGCCTCAGGTAACTTGAAATACAGAGGCAAGTAACCTGTCTACTCTACTGACCTCGTGAAAACAAAGCTAAAACTGTATTTACATGAAGCCAGTTGGCAGGCAGGCTACTTGCCTCAGATAACTTGAAATACATTAGAGGCAAGTAACCTGTCTACTCTGATACTTGATTCTATATATTTATTTGCTTAAAAATTCTGTAGCATACTTGATTCTATATACTTACCAGCTCACTTAAGAATCATACAAAATCAAAGGTCACAACACTTGTCAAACTTCCAATCTCATATACCAACCACAGTGTTAACAATACCCAACCAATACAAAGACATAACCCACCAACGGTCTTTGCACTCAAATGAAAAGACACAGACAATATGTTTAATCAGGCTACAAAGACAAACCAGTCCCTAACCATGCAACCAACCACAATACCAACAGTTTTAGTTTTAACCATATTTTGCCTCTCAAGTTTCAAGAGCTCTACACCTTAACTGTGATCTCTCCCACCTCAGATGATGGCAACCCTCCTATCAGTGGTTTACAGAATCCAGGAATCACTTAAATCTTACCTTAAGTTAATTCCCCTCCCAACACCTTCCTTGAGCATGCTTAAGGGCTATAACCAGTGAATTGGTTATACTCTTAATCTTGTATACATAAAACATTTTTTGCAGAGACTTTTTTTATGCAAACCTGGAGGTTGGCACAACAAAATCCTACGCCACCATTACAATATCCCTTTCTATGTGAATGAAAAAACAGTCAGTGACTATAAATATTTCAATCTTGTGTGTTGTGTTTCCTACTGAGAAGACTCACCTACTGATTAGGTAAGCCTACTCCTCCTATCAAAAACCAATTCCATATAAAGTTTATCAATTTACAAACTATAAACTAGCATCAACTTTTTAAAATAAATAAACACAACTTTGTTAAAAGTTAAAATGCCTGCCAAAAACTGCCTTAGAAATAGTAGATTTAGGTATATTTGTTTAAAAAAAGATTTAAACATTTTTGTTTGTTATCTCTATGCATCAATTGGACCTCGCCAACAAGTTTTTTAAACTTGGTGAGGCCAAGCCGTTGTAATTTCTTTAATAAATATATTTTAATTTGAATCTTTGAATTTGAATGAGGATTATTTACTACATTATCGGTCTTCTGGTGAGAGCAGTGTAAATCAATATTTACACTATTTACAAAACCAGATGTTATACCTATTTTACAATGTGGTATCCTCAGTCTCAGCTTTACCACTGAGGACGTCTTGTTGTAGAACGGATTAAACGTCTGGTCTTGCAAATACCAATTGGATGCCTCTCACCGAAAAGACCAAGAATTTAGCGATGACACCTGCCACTCAAACCTACGAATGTAGATGAGAAATAATAATTATGCCTTTGAGGCATTTAAACATTTTAAAACCGAAATGGCAATGAATAATTTGTCTAGTCAGGCTCACAAACTGGACACTTCCCAACAATAAAAACAAAAAACTATTCCCATGTTCTATGTGTTATTTTCATCTCATTTCCAAAAAAACAAATTAAAATGTATATACAAATTTTACAAATCACAAATTAAAACAAGAATTATTATAGCTATTTACCTTACAAGTGTAGTAAGAGCGTTTGCATAATTTACCTAACCCGACAATATACAGGAGGTTAGGAACAATATTTTTCAATTAGGGCATACACGATGCGACAACAGTGATATGATATGATTGGTTGTTCTATAAACAACATTGCCTTATACATGTGACATCCCATGAAATGTTAACCAATTGCGTTCACCCAGCAATTACACCCAGGGAGGTTTCTTGACATAACAAATTTTCATCCTAGAGGATCAAAGGCAGTAGCCTAATAGCTAATTACCTTACAAGTTTAGTAAGAACGTTTTTATATCACGCAGGTGAATGTTGTGCAACGAGCGGAAGGGAGTTGCATAATTCGCCTAAGTGATATAAACACGCTTTTGCGTAACGTTTAACGTACAAGATTTTACCTGACCCGACAATATACCGTACAGGGGGTTACGTGCAATATTTTTCACTATCAATTTCACTCATCTTCTAACAGTAACGTTCATTTACTAACAAAAGCTAGGTTAGGAAAATTCTTCAAAACATAACAATAAAATTCAAGCGCACAGCTGATTTCTAGCGTTGAACGTTGTTAGCTCCATAGAGGTTTATTTTTTAAGTCAAGCACTCAATGTTATTTAAATGGGTTTCATTACCTTACCGAGTGAGTTTTTTCCAACTTTACATCACTCGAGAAGTAAAGGAGTTGTATACATCATGCTTGGGATAGGGAAGTTTAACATGGCGGGTTAGGTAAACACCTTAAATGTCAGGTAATGTTGTAGATTTAATGAAATTTTACTGGCTTTAATTAGCTTATTCTGTGAAAATGTTTACAAAAGTTCTTTGGTGGTGTAAAAAGTTGTAAATAAATACTAAAAGTGATTCATTGTAAAACAATGTGAGCATTATTTATGCTTTTTGCCATCACCAGAATAAAAGCCAAAAAAGCTTTTTATCTCCAAATGTTAAAATTTCACACTAGGAATTGACAATTACTTCAAAAAACTAATAATGTGTGTTGCTCAACAATGAACAGTTATTCTTATAGGCTACATAATTCAGTAATAGTTTGTTCCGTGGACCCTCCATAAGCAAACATTTTTACTCACCAAGGATTCGAGGAAGGATAAAGAGAGGATATTTTTAATATCTACCACTTTATAAAAAAAATTTAAGACTACAATTTCATTCGTTTAAAAAAAAAAGAAATAAAAACTTCTCACTGCAGTGTTTTTTTTTTTTTTTTTTTTTTAATAACAATAGCCCCATGTTAAATTGAAACGAAGACAAACAAAATATTGAATCCAGAATAACCATGAAGCCAATACATTTACCCTCAAATAAAATCTGTATACCTCTCAGTTTCTATTGGTGGTATCAGTAAACACGGAGTAGTTTGAAAACCTGAAAGCAGTTTAGAGAATGAAAATGCACTAAAATTGAATACTTAAAGCACAAAATGATTTACTAACAAGCATGCTTAAGTAATGTTTACACGTGTGTAAAACTTGTACATATCCAGAAATGTGGTTAGGTTTAAGTGTTAGCCTCCTACATTCAATTTAGCCACAAAGTTGCTTATACTGTACAATAAGAGATAAATGGAACAATTTGCATTGTAACATATTGCAACAGCAAAATGTATCATCCTCTATTCAAATCAACAGTCTTGGAGCTTTACCATATCTAAATACACCTACACAATAGACTATGGCATCTTGACTTAAAGTGTAGTAAGGTGAAAACACTAGGGAATGGTGATCACTGTGAATATACTGTGGCAGTGGGAGAATAAGAAAACTTTTATATTTTTGTGGTGCCTGGTTATGTAACATATTTTTTTTATAAACATGGTGAGTAAGACCATAGACAAAAAGAATGAAATATAGACCGTCAGCTGTGCTGCGGTTACCATAGGTTCTGGCGCACGCCGCTTGGAGCACCACGGTAGTTACGGCGTACACGCTACGTAAACTACAGCGGTGTGCGCCGGAACCTATGGTAACCATGGCAACCGCAGCACGGCTGACAGTCTATATTTAATTCTTTTTGTCTATGGTAAGACCTTGCTAAAAGCCTCATCTACTTTGCAAACTTCAATGGACCTCGTGAAAATTGTTCAGACATTTTTGGAAAATATAAGATCTGATGAAGGTCTCAAAAGCATTATCATAGACACTTCAGAACTTGCAGAAGAAATTGGTGTTTCTGTTGAATTTAAAGTTTGTCCAAGGAAAACCAAGAGGGAATAGTCTCCTATGAGAGAGAAGATTTAGGCTGTGGTTTCCTAGACGCGTAATAGATGCGCAGCGGTTTAGATGCGCTGCGGCTTTTATCCAGGTCCCAAAACGCAGCCGCCGTGAGTGGTTTCCTAGACTGCGTACAATACACACGGTTGGTGCGTAACATAAGATCACGTGAGAGATTACTAGTGGCTACTATTATGTTATACGATGATTTAGATAATGAAATACTTTGGTACTAAACCCTTCGAAGAAGCGTAAGCAGTGAAAAGTACATGATTTAAGAACTGTACGTGGCCCTCACGAATGTTTTAACAGTAGTATTAAAGCAAACATGTCAATTTAAAATTTAAACAATACATCTTAATTTACCCTCTCCAACTTTGCTTTTACTGTTATTATATTTACCTATTCAGGATTTACCGAATCGACGAAAATACCTTTTACGAGTACAACTGCAATAAGTATTTCATACTTATACGCCAACCCCGTAAGAAGAACGGGCATGTACTCTGCTAGTAATTAATATAGGCTAAAAAATATTTAAAATTTTAAAGAACATGTAAAAAATAGTTGTCAACATTAGGTTTATTTACAAAGTACAACAATAAGAAAATATGTGAGGACAAATTAATTGTCGGGAACATTTTATAAGGGAATTAAATATTAAAATTACACATTATGGGGAAACGAACACTACATAGCAAATTAAATCAAATGTAATACTATAAACATTTTTATTGTATGATCAACGTACTTCCATAATATGCCATTAAAAGAGACAAGTTCAATCAATTTTTCGTTGATGTCGGAGAATTTTGCCTCCTGGACAACATTTACTTCCGAATCCATTGCACAAGACGTCTAAAACGCAGCGTAACTCAGATTCGACTGCTCTGGAAGCAGTCGGTCAAATACGCAGCTATTGGTGCGCGCGTATTAGATGCGCGCGCATTAGATACGCAGCCTTGGAAACCGCTTACACAAAACTCCATAAGACAAGTGTGCTGCGTATTAGATGCGCACACGCAGCCTAGGAAACCACAGCCTAACAGAATCAAGCTGATAACATTCTGGTAACATTCAAAGAGGAATTTTTCTTTTTGGTGTTAGTTACAGCAATCAACTCACTTAAAGAGAGGTTTGAACTCATGTAGAACCACAGCTAGGGTTTTAGTTTTCTGTATGACATTAAGAATCACCAGGCATAAGACAAGAAGACTTTAAAAGACACCTGCATACAACTTTACAATGCTGTGGAGGAAAACTGTAACCTAGACATGACGATTCAGGGTTTTTCTCAGGCATTATTGGTGAATCTACGAATTTGAGTACAAAATCTACTTAGATTAATTATCTAAAGTGTGGTTGGAAACAAGAGTTTTTACCGTAATCCTTATTTTTAGACTTGGTAGAACTGTTAAACCAATCAGCAGACCGTGATGATGCTAGTGATATGTTAGAGAAACAATGTGACATAATAGAGCAACAAGTTTGAAAATATCCTACCTTAGTTTTCTGGCACTGCACAAACCATCGATTAGAAGATTGAGTGATTGTAAGAAAAGTAGTAGCAATCAACTATTTACAAATTATAATGAATAGAATAAGTTTTATTCGCTCCATAGCAAATCCTCTAAAATTTCAGCGAAGTTGCTGATTGTTTAAATGAGCTTGACATGCAACTAAAACAAAATTGGATGAATTCTCAGACGATACTGCCAGGCCAGACTGGAAAATGTTTAGCTACACCACTGACCTTCTTTTGATGTTCAAAATAAACATCAATCTCAAGACGGAAGTTAAAGTTAAAATTAAAGTTAAAATGTATTTTAAGGTTATTGTTTACCTGTAAGCAACGTCTAAAGGTCTCCTTGACTGATCTTTACAATGCATTTTTCTCCAGTAAAGAATCACTCCAATAGCAAAGATTACAACCAAAGCTCCAGCAATAACTCCAACAACTAAAACACAAAAAGAAAGTTACACAGATTAATAGATTAATTACAATTTCAAGAGTAAAAGGTAGATCATAAGCAGAATAATCAAACATCAGGTGGAATGCAAACAATGCGAACAAAAAACATTGGATTTTAAGCAAGACTTAATTACTCATGAGTTTCAACTCCTCGGGGACTGGTTCACAGTAAATGGTCTATCTATGAATGTGTCAAAGACACAACTAATTCACTTTTCAGTTGCTAATGAGAATAGAGACATTGTTGTAAATTCAAACCAAACATCAATATATTCTCAAAACTCAGTTAATTACCTTGGAATTGATATAGATTGGCAACTTAATTGGCAAACAAACATTAAGAATCTATCAAAGAGACTCAGATCAGCTATACTTGTTCTTCGGGTAATTCGACATACTACAAATTTAGACACACAATTAGCAGTATACCACGCTTATTTTTCTTCCATTATGAATTACGGTTTAACGGTATGGGGTTCTTCTAGTCATGCCGAACAAATTAAAAAAGAGCAGTTAGAGTCTTAGCGAAAGTGTCTCGGATTACTCACAGTAAAGAGTTTTTCATTCAGTTTAAAATTCTTACTTTGTATAGTTCTTATATCTTTAAACTAGCTTTAATGGTTAAAAGTGATTTTGACACATTCATGGAAGATCAACATGCCCATCCTCACAACACTAGATTTAAAAACAATATAAAACCAGTTCAACACAGACTTAAAGTATTCCATTTATCTCCTCAGTACATGGGCCCAAAAATATATAACAAATTACCTTCTTCAATTAGGGACACTGATTCATTCCCTAAATTCAAAAAGAAGTTAAAAAACTTTCTTTTGGAGAAGGCCTTCTTCTCATTGGAGGAATATATGGAAGCTATGTAGATGTTAAGGCTCAGCAATGAAATTTATTTTAGTAATAATTTTAGTATAATAGAGACTATAAAATATTGTAACAATGACGAATCACCTGTCTGAATATGATGTTATGTGATTATTGGAAAATAAATAAATAAATAAATAAATAAATAAATGCAGGACCTCAATAACTCAAACCTTAATACCTTGAATTCCTTTAAATCTTGGATGAATTTATCAAATTCCCTTAAAATACTAGAATCTCATAATGATAAAGTACAAGTCAGGGTTTCAAATATTTAACCATGATAAATGTAATTTTAACGTTTTGTAATCAATTATTTGCTTAATTAAGTTGCTTTGCTACGTTTTGCCAAGGTCATATTCATATATCTAAACACATCAACTAAGCTCCAACTATTTGATCAAGAAAACTGTTAATACCACTATCACTGGGACTGGAACACAATGTAGTGTGTTTGAGTAAAGGATGAGTGCAGAATGGAGTGAGATACTTTATACTGGCTAAGAGCAGCTGTTTCTTAAGCCAGAACGAGTCATTGAGAGACCAATGATGAAGTACAACAGGGTTCAGTTTTGAACCAGCGACCTTTAGATTATCAGCCAAGCACTATAACCACTCAGCTTTCAGTTATAGACAATCTATACTGCATACCAATTTGTAGATAAAAGTTAACAATATCCAACCTATGATGATAGTAAAAAAATCCTGGGAGGACTCACTTTCAGGTCAAAACGACTGGGTTGGTAATAATGTTAGTAAAACTTTTTTTAACTGAAGTCAGCAGTTTTCACTGCCACTGTACCTCACGCACCTCTTTTTCTACTAACAGCCTTAATCACTTCCCGTACTCACCCATCTCCTTAGATTTAGTGTATCGTACGTTCACGTATAGGATGGTCAATTCAACAATGCCTAAATGACGGAGTTAATATGTTACCGTTTTGTTAGACCGTGAATGAGTGACTGCAGCAGTCAAATCGCTGTTTTTAAAGAAATGGTTTAGTGTTTAATATATTTTTTAACTCTGTTTATTAGTACTTTGTAAATACTGTGTATTAAATAGGCCTAACAATAATTGTTATTTTAAAATTATTATGTTCTCCTAGTTTATGTTAAATGATGAAATTTGATGCAAATCCAAAGAAAAAATTATAGTCTACTAATTGTGAGTTAAAATGGATTTTGTTGAACGTAATCGGATTGACGGACTACTTCAAAGTATAGAACGTGAAGAGAATAGTGATTGTGTAAGAAGACCCTTAGGAATTTTTTGTTGAGGACTCTTCAACAAATAAACAACGGTTTCATGATGAAGGAGACAAAACAACAATGACAATGATGAAGTTGAAGACTTAAAAGGTATTTTACGTTATTATAGACTTAGACGAACGTTCCAATGAAGATAACAGAGAAAATCTACCCGGTGAAGATAAAAATAATTAAAAAAATGAAGAAATTCCAGGTATTTTTTAGATTGAAATTTAGATTACTTAGAAAGTTCAAGTCTCAAGAGTAGAACTGAAGAATTTATTTTCCAGGGAATGGATTAGCATATGTTAGTAAAGCTTTGGGTGTGCAATGGGATGTCCAACCTACAAGACAAAGTTTAGGTAGAAATAGGAATATTCTGTGGATGAGAATAGGTCATTCAAGTAATAAAACAAATTTTGAATGAATTTGCGTGACTTGTGGTCAAATGATTGGTTTGGAGTTGAGTTTTTTTTCTAGCGAGTATGTCTCAATCAAGGTTTCAGTTCCTGCTTAGAACCCTTAGATTCGATAACATAAGAACACAAGATGATATAAAGGTGCATGACAAAATTGCTCCTATACTAAATTTATTTGAACAATGTGCTGAAAAGAACATAAAACTATGTTCTAAATGAGTATGTAACAGTGGACGAGATTATAAAATCCCCTACATGTCCCCTAGGTGTAGATACAGTTGATTGTTACAAACAAAATTACTCAGTTTCTAGAATCACCAATCGCTGGTCAATGTCAGTGTTTTTCGCATTGCTGAACATAACAGCTCTGAACAAACTTAATTTTGAAGGAAAACCGAAATCAGCCAAAAATGACTACAAGATTATTTTTGAAGAGCCTTGGAATGGATCTGTGTAGAGACATGACATCAAGAATATTTGTTCGTGGAACACCCCGGTTTTACCAAAGAACTAATCTGCTGACTACATGGAGTATAAATGCCACGGACCCACGTTGTACAAAAATGAAATTGCGTAATGAAATTGAATTTTTTGTACTAAACAACATTAGATTATTCCATGTTATTTTTTTATTTGGTAATAAAATAAATCAATTTTATAGCAAAATAAAGCTATTTTATTAGTCCCAGTCAAAAAGACTGACTGTCTTTGCGAGAGGCTTTCTGTTCGGGATGAGCTCATCCAACGTAGAACACGTCATGATGGGAGGCTTCACTTTACAAGGGTCACCTTGGAATCATTTCAACGTTGTTATGGTTTTACAGTCCTTAATATTTTAGATTTTGTTTTATATTTTACTACAATTATTTCACCGCACCCTGAAACATTATTATCTAACAATGAAAACGGGTTTTTACTTACATTTTATGTGATATTACATATTTAAGGTTTTAAGAGCTTTAAATTGATACCCAATACGCAATTAAAAATTTATATTTACGAGTCGATTTGCTGCACAAAAAACCCAACAAATTCTTTTAATAATATAGATTCCTCTAAAGACTCCTACACATAACCTTAAAGTTGTAGTTTTTATTTCAAAACATATATTGAAGATTTATTCCAAACTTGTTCGTACTAAAAAAAAAATGAATTTGACGCTTAAAATTGTGTTTAATCAATGTTTTGTATGAAGTAGAATAACCTCAATGGCTAATCTTAGGTAATAACCTGGAACCAATTATTGGGAAAGAAAAGTTTCTCTTATTTTGGACCCACATTGTACAACGGACTACCCGAGAGCCTAAAAACCTTTAAGAATAAGTTAAAAATGTTCCTAAAAGATATAAACTTTTAGTTGTAAGTAAAGTAGTTTAATGACAAAAGTTGTTCTGAAAAACTGATACGTATTAGAGAAACGCTGGCTAATAAAGAAATTTTCATTTATTTTTATTTATTTATTTAAAGGCCTTGAGTGAGTCCTTACCCTTTCAATTCGAAGCGAGTTTAGCAGGGTCAATTACCCATCAAGCAAAATGTGATTTGTTGAATTTGGTTTCAACAGTTTGAAATTTCCAAACAAATTTGGTGAAATAATGCCCTAAGTATATATATATATATATATATATACAATTGTTTAGATAAAGGGCTACTATTATAAATAATGAAGAAAGCATATTAACTCAGTACCCTGAAATTATTTTTATTTTTAAAACTCTACATGTTTCGACCTTTAGGCCATTTACAAGAGAGTAAATTACTCTCTTGTAAATGGCCTAAGCATGTAGAGTTTTAAAAATAAAAATAATTTCAGGGTACTGAGTTAATATCCTTTCTTCATTTATATATATATATATATATATATATATCTTTGAAAACAATACATTTTTATCGTGACTCCAAATTACTAGTGAACAAATAGTAATAAATATGTTTGTATAGAATACAAAAAACAAATCAATTAACATTTTGGGCCGCTTTCCCCAAATCAAGTTTAACTTAATCTCGGTTAACTTTAATCAGTTAACTTTAATCTACATAGGTTCTGGTTTGCTATTTCTTAACTTATTTCCAGTTCAATTTATTTTAGGTTATGTTTAACAAACGTCAAACAAGGATATTTGCCATTGCCCTCTGCCGATGCCGAACGTAACAAGTCACCCAAGAGCCAATCAAAATCAAGCTATTATTCTTCTCTCCTGGTTTAACCCATGGATCGCCAGTTAAACCACCTCACCCCTAGGGTTAACTTAAACCTAGTTTAAACGGAGAAATTATTTTGGGGAAAGTGAATCTGAGGTTAAACTAGAGTTTAAACCGCGATCAGAGTTAAACTTGATTTTTGGAAAGCGGCCCTAAGAAGGACTTAATTCCTTATTGTTATGAGAGAGATGTAAACGTGAGAACATTGTTTTACCATACCTAAGTATATGAAGATATTATGGTCTTGTTCGGGTTTACTGGATACCAATACGTCCTGAAAATAAAGAAACAATTAAATAAAAACATTATGCTACTAATACTAATTGTAGAAATTAAACATTAATTAGACCAATTCGTATATACCAAGGAAAAATGTGGTTCGGATTCCACTATAAACTGTAGGTCCCTTAGTTGCCATAAGCTGTATGGGCTATTAATTAACAGCTGTGTCTAAGGAATGTCGGCCTTAGTCACTAACAAGACAACAAGATCGCTCCACTTATCCTACACTCATCTCCATTCATACTTGGCTTAAAATACCTACTATGTATGGTCACCATTTCATTGAACAATATTAATATGTAGTATTGTTTATCCTATTGTCTTTACAACCTGAAGCTGTCAAGATGGCAAATAGTTAAAATAATCGGTACTTTGGTATTATCCGGAGGCCACTCTTATAGAGCGCAGTTATGTCAGGTTGGGTTTTAATAAATATAAAAACCCAAAATCAAATCAAATGATACCATATGAGTCATACTTTCGCCTGCCAAATCCCCTCCAAGTAGACCAAGGTCAGGTCGTTGACCGGAGCTCGCGCATCACCTGTATATGGGTCCGTATCCTTAGTAATGACTAAACTGGTATCGATCGATTCACAAAACAAGGAAAGTCCTACAAACCTATTTATGATAACCCAACCTAACATAACTGCCGCAGCGTGATCTATACCTACTTGGCGGAGTACAGGCAAGGAAACATTTATACATGAACATTTATTGCATGATTACAAATTATTGTCTTAAGAAAATAAAAAAAAATAAAACAGTAATAGCCAATACAAAAGTATAGCCTATTTCAAACTAACCTTCAAGAAAGAAATGCTTCCATTGGGTTTAAGTGTTGGTAACGGAATTCCCAGGATGTGAGCTGCAAGGGGGTATATGTTGATGTTCTCAAATGGTTGAACAGAGAAATTCTTCTTGAATTCAGGTCCAACTGCCATGAAGAAAGCTCTCATTGAAGGAACCAACGGGTCATAACCATGATTGCCAATCTCAGGAGATTTTACTAGAAATTAACATATTATTACATCAAAGGGAAAATGTGGACGATTTAAGTGTTACTTAAAACAAAATTACATAATAACGAAAACACGAGAGAATACCAACTAAGATAGTAGTGGTCTAAACCAAAATAAAGTGAACCTACGTCAGCACAGAGAAAGATATGGGGTGTGCGACTAAAATGTAATACTGTCTTGTGATTATGCAACCAAATACGTAACCAAATCCATGAAGAGGTAGCATATCTATCTTAAGCTCTTTTTACTCTGCAGCAAACCGCGCCCCGCTGCGTCTGATGGCAGACGCTAGTTTTTTGCGGTAGCTGTGGCAGTGATGAGTATAGAGCTGCCTACTTTAGCAATTCTCTCATCATTAGAAGTGTATAACTGTGTAGTGAGTGTGAGATAACACGAGCTTTAAATCCAGGTGTGACATATATGAGTTTGAATCTAAAGGTGGTAGTAAAAGACACTGATCTGTTCACCCCATCAATTTAGCAAGATCTAATGATGATGATGATGATTCAGAAACTTCTTTAAAATTAGGAGTGACAACAATGACAAGTTCTAAAACTATTTTCTTACGTCAATTACTTCGTTTGATGTACTTTTCTTCAGTTTGAGAGCAAACATTCATTGATTCTCCATTACTTTGAGGAATCAACTTCTCCGCAGAGGAAAGATATTATCATAATGGAAGCAGTTGACTAAGTTGATGGTAAGTTGATGGAGGCAGTTGAGCATAATGGCGCAGTTGCGCCATTGCAGGGAAACGCTGATTATAAAAGCTTCCCATGAACACTGTCTGTGTACTTTGAGGCCGAACATTTCTGCAGGTTGTAGGTTTACCATCGTGCGTCTTTAAATCTAGCCCACGTCAGCGACCTGTGCCGCATAGTATAAAAGCTCTCATATAACTAAATGCATTGAACAAGCCACTAAGTATAAAAGAAGCCTTACAGTTACACAACTAATAGATCTAGCTACCAACTGGGGTATTGGTGGTCTGGATCCAGGAACAGGTAGCCTAAATCAGCACACAGCAAGATAGGGGGTGTGCGATTGCAGTGCTTGTATCTCCATCTATCCAACATCTCTGCTTTTGTGTATGCAGTGAAGTTAGCCCCTCTGCTTTGGTCATCCTTCAATGTTGACAATACTTCCTCTTCTTTTCCTGCAATGTATTTGTCTGACTAAGCATTATTTTTATATAGTATTTTAATGACGTCTTTAGTGGACTTGACTAGTTAATATGATAAAAGGGCTAATTTGTCCAGTGTAGGGTTACGTACCTGAAATATAAACTTATTTGGATGATTGTAGGTAACATCAAGCATTATGAAAATTGTAAAAACAATGTCACAGCTTGTTGCACTAGGCCTGAGGAAACAGGTCACAATGATTTGAACAAACAGTAAAAATATCATAGAACCATAAATATATTGTTTAAACGTAACAATGATTTTTTTAAGGACTGTTTATTCTTTAAAATCACAATTTGTGCATAAAAAATATTTTACACAAACTGAACAAAATATTTGAACACAAGAGATAACACTACGAGACGGACTACTATGAACCTGTTCATAAAGAAACACATGTTTAGTTGTAAAAAATCTGGATAAACAAGGTTGTATTGTACACAAATTTTTGTATGTTTAACATTCCTAATAGGAGAGGTAGAAGGTACTCGACCGCACAATTTTATTTGTGGCTAGCAGAACATTGCTGTTCTTCACTTCTTGCATAGTTCAGAATAGTTACCAAGACTATTGAGAGAAAGATGAAAAAGATTCTGATCCCTTTTGCTCAACCAATGTTTCGGATTACTAGCTTTTGAGCTGTTACTATTATGTTATGTAAATGACAGACAGTAAAGGTGTTTTATTGAACAGTTTAAATTGTAACGTTTCTGATAACAGTTTTTTCCTATTTCTGTAGAGCTAAAAAACCCTGATGAGCGAATTATTGAAGTGTCCTATTATAGTTAGGTACTCCAGATTACCTACATGACTTTACAAATAGCTATCTGCTGCTATGATAAGTCTTTTTTAAGAACGGTTAATAATTTTATATACAAATCTTTAATGTGCTTTGAAAATGCCAGAAAGTAGATGGAGCACCACCCCGAAAGCAAAGAGCTGTTCAACTTCTCGTCGTCAAGTGCCTGCAGGACCTTGCTGCTCGGAAATGTGCCACTACAATACGCAAACTGATTTTGCTGCTGCCGAATTCCCAATTAATTTGGATAGTCAGAATCTTGCTGTGTTACATAATTAAAAAGGAGCTACATAATTTAGGTTACCTGGCACTGGAAAGATCTGTAGGTTTGGGGCCACGCCACCACGGATATATAAGTTCCTATTGATGTAAGTGTCCAAGTTAATGTTGTGGCTTGGTACTGGGACAGCCTGGCCGCCATGATCACTCACGAACACAATGTTTAACCGATGCAATAAATCCACCTGAAACAAAAATTAAATGCCCAACAAAAGAAAATACAACAAAAAGTTATTTTTACTAAACATCGTCTATGAACTAAGGTTTTTTTCCAAATAATAATTCCTTTAAGCTTGGTTTCACTTTAATTTCAAGTTAAGAGTGTTCATACACTGAAAAGTGGTAGGCCTATAATAATAGAAAAAATAAAACAAATATAGACCGTATACTGTGCTGTGGTTAGCATAAGTTCTGGCGTCCCGCTAGGATTGCTGTGTAGTTACGGCGCACACCACTGCAGCGTCTGCTGGTAGCATACGGCAAGGAGCTGACGACGGCAGCAAATCGAACACCGAGCGGCATATCGCGGAACCTTCCTTTGACAGTCAATATTTTCTGTTTGTCTATGCTAAAACTTGAGAATCGTTGTATCTAAAATATTCAAATTAAATTATTGTCTTGAATTAAAAGAATTGATGATTCTTAAAATCAAATGGAGTTTGTGAAAAGAAAACAAATCTACTAGTAACTTAATTAATTGCTGCAAAGTCAATATAACTTATCATATGTTACAAATTTGCATGAAGTACTCTTGGTAATTCAAACACTTGATAAATCAAAACTTTCAATCATTCAAAATTAAGGCTTAGTCCTTAAGAATATCTTAATATTTTAAAGTTTTGCCATGCACAATGATACACTCAATATTTCAAAGTCCAAGCAGAGGGCATGCCAATTTTGAACATGCAGTAATTCTATGGTTCATCGGCAAAACACTATAATTCGAAGGGTGGGATTCCTCCTTGTTATAACAGGAAACTATAGCCTACATCCTGTTAGCACAGTAGTTTGTCTTAAGAATGCCATTGATGACACAAAATCCAATAGCAAAAAGCAAACAAAAAATAACAGATTTGTTGTATTTTGTAAATAATTAAAAATAAGCCTTTGTTTGTTGGAAAGTAACTAAAATAAGCTGCTTAATTGATGCCTTACATAATACGGTGATAATACAGTATTTAGAAAATTAACTCTTTGTAGGCTAATTAAAATGTGTTTTTTTTTCAAATCAATAAATCAAACTCTTGCTGAATCAGAACTCTAAATAATTCAAATTATTTGCATGGTCAACCAATTTTGAATTATCAAGAGTCCACTGTACGTAATTGCTGTTAAAATACTGATAAAACTCATAATCACCTCTACAGCTTTGTCCAGTAAATATTGCACTATTTTGTCCACCCGAGCAATCTGACGATCAACCTCGGGTGAATCGGGGCCGTAGCTGTGACAAGTGAGATCTGGCTGCTCAAAGTACATTACACCGAGATTGATGGGTGTCTCTGGATGAGTGAACCAGCTGATGAGAGTGTCTACTCGTGACTCCCAGCTGGTTGACACATTGTATGTGAAATAGTGGGAAGGCAAGGTATGTTGATAAGGTAGATCACAGCCCGGCCACATAACACAACCACTACGCCGACCTCCACCACCACGCTCATTCAGAATCTGATGAAACCAAAATGATCATAGAATAGGTAGCCTAGATACAAATTTTAAAATACAAACGAAATAACCTGGCTACTTACAGTGAGTGATCACAATACAAGCAAACTTTCAGGTTTGGTTAACTTTGCTCAAACAAAAGAAATGTGGAAAAAAGTGATGAAATTGTAAAACACAATTTAGTATTATTCATAGTAACAAAGCTGAAAATATAATTTGTGTAACTAAATTTGTTTTAAACTTTGAGAATAAGGTTTGAGATATTTATTTTTTACTTTTGCATTAATAAGGATTACATCAAACAGACTGAATATGCTTTTCCTCCAAGGTTTTTAATAATAACAAGTATGCTTGCCACATGACTAGACACAAAGAATTTGGAGCACCAACATTTAATTAAATAAAGGTAGAAATGAGTCATAACTTAGGCCTACAGCCTACACATAACTCTTTGTGTATTTGATTGTTACTAATCAATCCTATCAAATTGTATCAGGGGCACCATTTTTGAAATGTTTGACAGTTGAGTTGAGTGTTGAGTCACTCACTTTCCAATAGTTTTGTCGACTCGTTTTTGACTCAACCCTCAACCATTTCAAAAATATTGCTCCAGGTAAGGATCAATGTTTTTATAATCTAGAGACCTACCTAACCTAAAAATAGAATTGATTTTAAACCCACCAGATGGTACTAGCGTCTCAGGGGGCTTGTCAAAAACCGATGAGAACCTCTTCTCCGAATGAGTGGGTGAATGTGGGAGAGCCCCTCACGTCGATTCAAGAAAAATTATAAAATTAGTTTTGAAATTTTTTATTATAAAATTAAATTGTAATAACCTAACCTTACCAACCAAACTTGCTGATTATATAAAAAAGATATAAGATAAAAATCAAAAGAAGGTTTACTAAAAAAAATTCTCAAATTCTAACGAAAGATGTTTAGTTAAGAAGTAATCACAATTTATCCAAAATCAATGACAATATTTTAATACTTTTCATTGAAATGGCAACCATACACGTAGATATTTTAAGCCAAGAGAATGGAGATGAGTGTAGGATGAGTGGCGTGGTCTTGTAGTCTTGTTAGTGACTAAGGCCGACATATTCCTTAGTCACAGCTGTTAATTAAATAGGGGGGGCTACAGATTATGGTGGAATCCGAAACGCATTTTGCCTTGGTATTAACAAATTGGTCTAATTATCAGTATAGTACTGCGGATTTTACTCACTAGTGCCAACGTTAATCCACACCAGGGAACAGGGAATATCACATCCACAGTGCATGCCTATAAATATCCACAATTCATGACCTCCAAGTAGCTGGATTACAGGACGTCGCCGCTGTCCCAGCCATCAAAAAGTTAGTGTCATCGCTGGGGTTCGATCCGGTGACCTCATGGACATCAGCCGAGTACTCTATCCACTACACCACGAACACCGATGACTGCACTCCGTATCGTTGCGGTAATGGTGATCCCTCAAGAGAAGAAAGTGATGTCACACCACCCACTCCTTTGCAAAAGGTTCTCATCGGTTTCTGACCAGGACCCCGAGACACAAGTCCAGATGGTTATTTTTCTTCAAGAGAGTAAGGTAATAAGATAAGATAAACATCAACGTTGCTAAGGTGCAAATTAATATTTTACTCCCAAACAAGTAGCCTACCTATATAAGTTAATAGTTGATACAATTTGTTTTGCTAGAATCCAACAAGAAAATTAATTTATAAGTTACCGTAATCATTATGTTAAAAGCCTAACTTGATCTTTTGATTTTAAAGAAAATGGGGAAATTTGTATAAGACAGATTAGTATGGTGGACAATCAACTGTAAGAAGTATAGCTTAGAAAAAGTTATCTAACTTTAAATAGAGCTATAATTCAATGCAGAGATGTTGATTGAAGTACAGTAGGTAAGCAATATGCCCATGAGATGGAAAGTAAATGAGGCCCTAGGACTTGTCAGATAGCTTAACTAAGACTAGCTTTTAATCTGTAGGGAAACGCTTTAGACCTAAGTGACAAGACCTCAGTCTTATAATAATAAATAAGCATAATATGGGTATATTATGCTATTGTTTGTCAGAGTACCAATATTTATAAGCCTCATTAGAAGGTACTGTTGTGGTATTTTATCTTCAAAGGAGTAAACCAGTCAGTGGCCTGATCCAGATGCTAATTTTAGTGCAATCCAAGATGCTGATCCGAAAACTGATTTAATGCCATCCAACGTTTCGTCTTAACTTAATATCTTAAAACTGATTGGAGAAGTCAGAAGAGGTTCAGTAGTAGTTCAAATAAGTGAAAATGTTGCCATATTTTCAAATGCTTAACTATAAAAAAATATGGGTACACTTCCATATCCGCGAATGAAAATATTGATCGATATATCGTTTGGTTAGTATGGTAAGGTTAACCTAACCAAACGATATATTGAAATAAACAATCGAATAATCAAAATTACTCGTTCGGTTGTTTGTGCCAACAGATATGGAAGTGTACCCAAAAATATAAATCAAAACCAACATTGCTTGTAACTTATAATATTACAAACCTATTATATAAAAATAAAGATGATGTAACATAGGTATTACACATGAAATCTACATGTTTTCATAACTTATTCCATGTGTGTTTATTTAACCTACCCAAATTGGAACAACATCTTCATTGTAGTGAAATAACTCAGGTCCATAACCTATGGATTTGTTGGTTGAAACATCATAAATTTTATTATCCAGAACCCCGTGCACTTCAGTATAGAGTCCAGTTGCAATGGAAAAGTGATTTGGGAATGTCTTTGAGGGGAAAACGCTTAGCATGTAAGGAGAGTGTGAGCTATTCGTTTTTAAATTTAGTAGATTTTCTGTAAGGTTCCTATTAAAATAATCGTACCTAAACCCATCAAAAGAAACTAGTAATAGCAAGGTGTTGTTGTTTGATGGCAAAGCCAAACCAAGAGAAAATATTAAAAGAGTCAATAACAAGTAAATTGTTGATAGATCCATGAGGCGTTTGGTACTAGAAAGGCACTTATTATTTGGCTAATTTTCAAACTACACACTAAGCAAATTTGATTTGAAAAGTCTACATGCTATGAAAAACGTTATGTAATGGTCGATTGCTACTTAGCCTATTTGTTACACCAAACCAAACCAAACTGTAAACTAGACTTTGGACACCTTCCAAATGTTTGAGGTTAAATCTAGTCTAGATGTCAAACACCGACAGTCGACACGCAGACGCCCAAGTTTTATGTCGTCTGCTAGGAGTTTTTTCCATCTTGTTTTCTAGGCGGTATTATTTTATATGCAGCTTCGGTGTGCACTTGCACTGCACACTGCACTACGAGAAATTATTGTGTCCCTAGAATAGAAATGTCCAAGTAAATGCAATGATTTAACTGGAGGTAAGTATTCCTAAAATAGCTCGTTACGTGATGATCCGTACTACCAAATTTGGTTAAATAAACAATTTATGTATTTGAGTCACATATTTATTGTATTGAATCACATTGAATACCTAGCCTACTGTATAAGAAAATCACATACCGTACCATGAAGCAAAGTATAGGATCCTTATTATATTTGTTTAGTACTTATTTCAACACTTTCTGGGCTATGAACGATATCCGTCGTTCTTGATTTCTGCCCCAGACTGAAAAAATATATCTGCCCTAAACACTGCCCTAAAATATTAAATGTCCTGAGTCGTATACATTACGATAGTGTTATTAACGAATCAATTTAGTTTTGCAGTTGGCAATACTGAACCTGCGAATTGGTTTTGCTTATTGCTTAGTTGTTTCGCGCCTAAACACAGAGTGAGTTTGAGAGTGCAAAACTGCCTGTTACTTACTTCACTGGTTGCGTTCTTTTCTGACATTACTTTCGACTTTACAAGCAGGGCCGTATTTAGAATCTATGAGGCCCCCGGCGGCTCTCACCAGAGAGGCCCCACTCTATATTCTGATTCTTCAAAGGTTGGAGCTTAAGGGTTTAGAAATACACATGGTATTGCTTCAAGTCGATCAATTGACCTTTTGTTTCCAACAATCTGATTGAAAGAGTCCTAGGAGACTAGCTAATAAAAGGGTCCATTGATTTCTTGCATTAACGCTGACATGTCATCTCAGTCCCTTCCGATCACGTAGGAATCATGAACGTCTCGACATGTGGCCGCGGGGAAATGGTGAAAATCTTGCGTGAGCGCTGAGGCGTTATCTCTGTCTCCTCTGATCGCGGCGGATTCATGAACGACTCATGTGGTCTCAGAGAAATCATGAACATCTCTCGTGGTCGTGAAGACATCATCGTCTCCCGCGGTCACGAAAACGTGATCGTCATCTTGTGCGATAGCGGCAAAATCATGAACATCTCCCGCAGCCTTGTAGACACAATCATCGTCTCCCGCGATTTCGAAAACGGGATCGTCGTCTTGCGTGATAGCGGCAAAATCATGAACATCTCCCGCAGCCGTGTAAACGTCATCATCGTCTCCCGCGTTCTCGAAAACGTGATCGTCGTCTTTTGTGATCGCAGCTAAATCATGAAAATCTCCTGCAGCCATCTAGACATCATCATCGTCCCCTGTGGTCACAAAAACGTGATCATCGTCTTTCACGATAGGGGCAAAATAATTAACGTCTCCCGCGGCCGTGTAAACGTCATTAACGTCTCTCGCGGTTCCAAAAACGTGATCGTCGTCTTGCGTGATAGCAGCAAAATCAAGTTCATTTCCCGTGGCCATGTGGACATCACCATTGTCTCCCGCGGTCACAAAAACGTGATCATCGTCTTTCACGGTAGCGGCAAAATCATGAACATCTCCCGCGGTTTCGAAAACGTGATCGTCGTCTTGCGTGATAGCGGCAAAATCAAGTTCATTTCCCGTGGCCGTGCAAACGTCATCGTATTTCACGATCGCGGCAAAATCAAGTTCATTTCCCGTGGCCGTGTAAACGCCATCATCGTCTCCCGCGGTCGGGATACAATCTTGGACTTCTTCCGCAATGACGGGTGAATAGAGACAACTCCTACGCTAACGGGGAAGTAGCGAGGATCTTTTGCGGTCTCTCAAATTTCATCAACAGCTCCCGCTATCGAGATAAAAAGATGATTAGTGAAATATCAAGAAAATAATATTTGAGGCCCCAAGTGAGGCCCCCTTCTAGGCCGAGGCCCCCGGCAACAGCCGTGTCCGCCGTTAGGGAAATACGGCCCTGTTTACAAGTTGGTCTATAATATGCAATAGCATTAAAAAGTTATAAGGTTAAGGTTTCCGAACAGGGTGCAGCACTATTATTATTTCGTTTTTGCATATACGACAACAGCTAATTTTAATTAAGCAGCAACAAAAAGCTGCGATACACAATGAGAACTGTCAAAGTAGGATTGTTTACAGTTAGGGTTGAGTTTTTAAGAATAATTTGTGATATTGTGCGATTTTTTATTTAGGTGCAGTGTTATAACATCATGACAATGGTAGATTTGTTATACTATATCATACCATAAATTTATGAACCAAATTTTATCTAACTGCGTCCTCCCCCATTGCAAACGTAAAGCTTGAGTATAGGGCCTAACTGCAATAAGCATTTTATACTTGCCAACTCCGTACGAAGGACGGGGCTCTTCTAGTGTATTAATTTATTAATTAATTTATTTATTTATATCACACGGTTAAACCAATTTTACAAATTTGTGTACATCAAGATGGTAGCCTAAGATATTAATACTAAATAATATAATATAATAATATAAACTAAATAATACAATATAATATATTACTTAATAAATTAATATATTTTCCTGACCGAATACAAAGTTCTGTTTTACATGGAAATTGTTACAACTGTGTATACTGTACCACAATATTATAGCTACAAAGAAAAGTTTTAAAACTGTAAACTTACTTATGGCTTGTACTTTGCAACAGTTTATTGTTTGCATGTTTAACATTCAAAGAACAATGAAAAATTTTGGGTAATGACAATATGATTACAAAATACATCTTTTAGCTTCTAACGATTTTTATACGTGTGTCAATCTTTGATATTGTAACATAAATATATGGACATAACTGCGGCCCATTCTACGCACGGGAATCAAGTATTTATAATTAGGATAGTTTTTTATTCAGAACGGTTTAGAATTTGTTGTCTACACGTTGGCATTTGCTAATGTTTATTTGTAGAGGAACGGGCTTGATACTGTAATAGTTTTTAGAATAATAAGCTATGATCGTTAGCCTACTACTTGTAGACTAACCAGAGTGAAAATAAGCCCCCAGTTTCATTTTAAGGCTTTCCACATAGACAAAGTTGCTGCAAAATCGTTTTCGATCGGATTTAAAATGCATACCATAGATAAAGAAATGGGTAACCACACAAAGTTAGTTTAAAAAGTGATTTCTCGATAAAACTCTGAGAATTTTCCTTTAGACAGGCTATGTTTTTGACAAAGGGCTAATTTAATTTGACAAAATGTGAGGTCATTGGCAATCAAGATGTATAATAAAATACTAAATGTGTGATATTAATTAGTTTAAATATAGTTCTGCCGTAGAAAATTATATTTAACATATTTATAGATTTTATGGCACCAAGATTTGTGTGAAACACAAATAAAAATTCTATAGCCATTATTGTCACACACATTGTATATTTTGTACCCAGGCAAAGCCGGGTTTTACTACTAGTATTATTTTCATAATTCGGCCTACTTATTTTTGCTTATTGGTTTACTAAAATTTCCAACATTCCACCGTGTTCTATATCAAATAAGCAAAGTATTGGTCTCATTGTTGAAAAATAAAAAGGACAAAGTAAACAAATCAGACAAATACAGTAATCAGCACATTTCATTTTTGTATTACACCATTTTATGACGTCTAAAACGTCCATAACGTTCGTCGTTCAGTAATACAAAATTGAGATGTGCTGATTACTGTATTTTTGTTCAGTACCCAACCAATAAACCAGTTATCGCTGGCAGGCATTTCATTTTTCTGGTTGCTATTCCAAACTTGTTTGTCCCGTTTCAAGGTCACATCCTGTCCGCCCATGATAACTATAAGTGATGTTACAATCAAACCACACAAATGTTTACTTTTCATTTTATTGCTTCAAGACGGCGATTATCACACTCATTATTTATTTTAAGTTGACGTCCGTTAAATACTGGATTACATTCAAGACACATGTATCAATTTAGTTTACAGTTGAAAGTTAAGTTCAAAATGTTGTTCAAATAATACATTTAATATCTAGGTATATATTTTACAGTTATATTAATTGGTTACAGATGAGAATGTTGTCCTAGACTAAAATTATTAGGAATATCGTACTGTCGTAGGTGGAGGAGGTAAGCACAACGGCAAACATCACCATTCTAATGAGTTAACTTGTTATGGAAAGTACCTGGTTGGACGGACGAGGTTAGGGAGGGGAAGTCACTGGCCCGTCCCTGCCAGGAGAGTCGGTATAGTCAGTTTCAGTCAGACGTTTCAGTGGAGAAGCCAGACAAGACAGAGAAAGTTGCACATCAGCTGATCACAACAATAGGTGAGCCGAAAGTGTATTGACAGCTGTCCAAACAAAGTGTGTTCTGGTTTGCTCCTTTGTTCCATAAGAGACCAAATCAACCACAAAATGCACATTCTAAAATCAGATAATATTGTTTAGGTTTTGCCCAAATTGAGCTTAACAATAAATCTTTTTGATAACTGAGCTGGTATTTGCATTATTTTTAAAGTATCAGCGCTTTTTAAACAGTGTTTGATTATTTCTTGATATTATTTTCTGTAAACGAATTTCTCAACAATATTCGTCTGATCAGTTCAGTTTATAGAACCAGCCCACGTCCATTCCAGTTCCATTTGAGATCAACGGCATTTAAATTGCACAAGTTTGCAAATCTTATGGTTAGGGTCCACTCCATTAAATCGGGGTTTTTATACTCAAACACAAAGTTCAACAAAATTGGACAAGCTTTCCTAACTTCTCAGCATTTAACAGCACCTTGCAAATATTAATACCCTCGCAACACCAAACCTGCAGACTAAGCGAATTTCCTGATAGTGTATGTTTTTTTCAACTAAAATAACTCCTTATAAATGTCATATTTAAATTTATTCCCTATTTGAATAAAATTAGTTTACAAGTACTTAGATTTGCTGCAACATGGAAGGTATTTTTTAGTTAATGTTAGTATAAAATAAAATAAATAAATTTAGTTAACATGAACTTTTGAGAAAACTAAGTCGCACTCCTATAAACCATAAACTTAAAATGTTCGTTATAACGAGAAACCTTTTGCAAAACCATCCATTATTTCATAAATTGCCCTTAAAGGTCATAACTCCTTTGTGGGAACTTTCCATATACCTAACTTATGTTAAAAATACCTCAGCTGTACTTATTTGTTTTTGTTCTTTCAATTTATTACCTTATTAAAACCAGGTGTGATTATTTAGGCCTACTGTATTCTGTTTTGTTTATTTCACCAATCAATAGTTTTTAGCGAATTTCCCATATAGGGAATAAGCTATTAACGTAGGTCTCATGGTAAGACCTGGATCCGGGACCGATTTACTTTTCGTTTTGTGGTTCTCAGAGGCCAAAAACACTATCCGTTCAAATTCATTTAAATATTGTGATATATTGTATTTATATCACACATACAGGGTGAATAAAAAGTCAAGACCCCCCCCCCCATTTTTTTTCCAAGTAAATTTACAGAGATATCCTTTTGGTGGTTGTACAATCATAGCAGAAAGTTTCATTTTATGATTTTGAAATTTTTGAGTGTCCCCCCAAAAGGGGGGATTTCGGGGGCAACTAAATTTTTTTCAATCGTAAACCCCCAGTGACACCTCATTTTGAAGTGTTTACAAAAACTTAAAGAATGGTGAAAACCAGAGTTCGCTATCTCTTCTCAATCCAAAATGGTAGCCAATATTACCATTGCGAACCAATTTTACCATTGCTTTTCCACAACATTTGACGGGCTACCATTTTGGATAGAGAAGAGATAGCGACCTCTAGTTTTCACCATTCTTTAATTTTTGTGTCACTTCAAAATGAGGTGTCACTTTGAAGGGGGTTTACATTTAAAATATTTGAGTTGCCCCCCAAATCCCCCCTTTTGGGGGGACACTCAAAAATTTCAAAATCATAAAATGAAACTTCCTGCTATGATTGCATGACCACCAAAAGGATATCTCTGTATATTTACTTGGAAAAATGGGGGGGGGGGTCTTGACTTTTTATTCACCCTGTATGTGTGTGTCCGTTAGCATGATAACTTGAGCAAAAAGATCCAATTTTGATGAAATTTGGTACAAACGTGTAAACCTACGTTTACTGGAATGAGTTCACAAACCAGCATGATCAGAGCTTGGGAACGGGGTTTTATGGGGTAAAAATTGGGTTTTCTCCTTTTTGACCCTCAAAACAGAAAATTTCTCTAATATTCTCTGGACCAATTTGAAGAGCTTAAAAAAGAAATACTTAAGTATTAAAAAAGTTAGTATTTTATACTAAGCTATTAATATTTTACTAAATAAGTTACACTTTATTACCCTCCCTGTAGGCAGCAAACCTATAGGTACTCATTAAACCTAATGTTATTTGAATAGATTTAATTGAAAATCAAATCGGGCAAATGGAAATTTGCTTAGTCTGCTGGTTTGCTGCGGTGGGGATATATACACAGTGTGTAAATTAGGTCTTGAAATATATCTAGCCAAAATGGCAGGTATTCCAAAATTTGATTTACTGTACCTGTGAAAAAGCACCAATTTCACAAATATGGAAAAAATCTGTATATTTAAAACCGAAATAGATTGGAATATTCTGTTTGTGGAATTGATTGTTAACATTGGTTCCGCAATTTTTTACATCAACAATATTTTTTAATCCCTTTTTTAAAAGGGTAGGGGGTAGGGGTGATTTATTTTTTGAGCGAAGCTCTTATACGTCGACTTTTATGCATTTCGTAATACGCAAACTCCTCCTAGACGGGTGAATCAATCGTTTTCAAATTTTTGCATGGTGATAAAGACCATACCGGTGAGTGCCAACATCTATATAGCGTTAAAAAAGTCTCTCGGGAATCCGCCCCACTGGGTCTCAAAGTTTCAATGTAATCCTTATGGAAGCAGTATTTGACACATAAACAAAGAAATATGATCAGCTGATGACTTTTGAATGCAGTAGATAAATAAATAGCTGAAGGCATTATTCCACAGATATTAGAACATAAACGGTGGTATGGATCAAAAATATAATCAAATGACGACACTAGCTTTAAGTCCGTGACGTAGGAAGTGGTAAAGGAAGTAGTAAAGGTGAGCAGTCTGGAGTGTGGAAACTGTTTAAGACGATTAGATTTAGGTAGGTATCTGCATTCCTAAAATTCTATGAAAAGGGAGGAAAACGGGTCCGTGACGTAGGAAGTGGTGAAGGAAGTAGTCAAGGCGAGCTGTCGGAGTGTGGGAACTGTTTATGACAATAAGAATAAGGTATCTCCAATCCTAAAATGCTATGGAACGGGAGGAAACAGGTCCGCGATGTACGAAGTGGCGAAGGACGTAGTAAACGCGATATGTTTGGGGTATGGGATCTGTTTATGACCATTAGATTAAGGTATTTGCAATCCTAAAATGCTATGGGAAGGGAGGAAAACAGGTCCGCGACGTAGGAAGTGGTGAAGGAAGTAGTCAAGGCGAGCTGTCCGGAGTGTGGGAACTGTTTATGACAATAAGAATAAGGTATCTACAATCCTAAAATGCTATGGAACGGGAGGAAACAGGTCCGCGATGTACGAAGTGGCGAAGGACGTAGTAAACGCGATATGTTTGGGGTATGGGATCTGTTAATGACCATTAGATTTAGGTATTTGCAATCCTAAAATGCTATGGGAAGGGAGGTAAACAGGTCCGTGACGTAGGAAGTGATGAAGGAATCAGTAAAGGCGAGTTTTTCGGAGTGTGGGAACTGTTTATGACGATTAGATTAAGGTATCTGCAATCCTAAAATGCTATGGAAAGGGAGGGAAACAGGTCCGTGACGTAGGCAGTGGTGAAGGAATCAGTAAAGGCGAGTTTTTCGGAGTGTGGGAACTGTTTATGACGATTAGATTAAGGTATCTGCAACCCTAAAATGCTATGGAAAGGGAGGGAAACAGGTCCGCACTGCTAACCTTTACTACTTTTTTCACCATTTTCTATTTTGTGGGCATGCTTCCATCCCTTCTCATAGCAATTCAGCATTGCAGATACATTAATCTAACTGATACAAACGGTTTCCAGTTCCCAAACTCCACACTGCGGTATCTATAACTCCATTGCTGTAAAAACCAAAGTCTGCAGGTTTGCTGCAGCGGGGGTATTTTTAATATTTTGATTTCAATGATATTTTCCCCATAAAAACCATAGTATAAAACATTTGTAAAGAAACAGCTTGACCAATTTTGATTACAATTTAATATGTTATGGTCCTTGTAATTCTAAACAAAACGGTATCTATAACCCTATTGCTGTAAAAACCAAAGTCTGCAGGGTTGCTGCAGCGGGGGTATTTTTAATATTTTGATTTTAATGATATTTTTACCATAAAACCCATAGTATAAAATATTTGTAAAGAAACAGCTTGACCAATTTTGATTACAATTTAATATGTTATGCTCCTTGTAATTCTAAACAAAACGGTACCTATAACCCCATTGCTGTAAAAGCTATGGTTCAAAAGTTATTGCAATCTTTGTGATTTTCCCCAGAAAATATTATAGTTACTCCCACCGCTTACCCTTGATAAAGGTTGTTGACAAGCTGGGAGAAAGTATGTGTCAGATTGCTGATAACGTTTATTTTTATTTGTTTTTGATATTGGGAAGTGGACATAATGAAATAGACCCAAATATACTGCAAAGAGTTCAGCAGTTGCCTCTGATAGACAGCCACTGATCTATCATCTGTACCCAGGCAGTTTGTAAACTTGACAGCAAAGTTGAGGGAGTGTTTATTCACAAAGTAATAGTAAATATGTCTTTCCACTTCCAGGTAATATTTACTATTAAAACTCAATAATTAAGATTAGTTATATTTTTTGTTTTTCATAGATTGCAGACATGAGGGGGGTATTTCTCCTCGCTTTAGTTTCATCTGCCTTTCGTCTCAGCTTTGGGCAAAATTATTTGTAAGTACTATTTTTTATTGTGTTGTTAAACTATATTTACATCTAAAAGTTATATTCATAAAAAGTCGTAATTAAGTATTTCGATTTTTGAAACAATCAATCTATTCTACAGTTGGTATTTCACTCTTTTATTTTTGCTTGAGCTAGTAGTTTGTATTCATCCTAAGTATTTTGCCAGCTTCTGATGCTCATTCTGGCATCTTTCTTTTATTTTTTCAAGGTGTGTAACAATTCAGTTAATGTCTAATTCATCAGGAACTTCAGATTCAATGGGCATCAAAGAAAGTCCTGATAGGTGCTCCCAAGACATGGGTTACCTCAAATAATTCTGTATTTTGTAGTCTCCTCTTGAGATGGATAAATAGATATCAACAGCACCACAGTCAACATTGTTGGGAAATTGTGGTTGTCCATGTCAAGTTCTTTTTAAAAGATTTGCTTTTTGCCATTTTTACCTCTACAACAAAAGCTTTTCTTGACTTTTATTTTTTCATTTTTGATGCCAGCAGCTATCCCTACACATGGAAATGTGAAGAGGGTCGATGCATCAAGCAGCTGGCCTCGGAGACAAATGAGTCGAGGTCACTCAACGTGTGTATGCTGCAATGCTCGGCCTACGCAGGAATCTGGCCACGACCACAACATCTTTCGGCACTTCCTGCGGCTGTGGTTCCTGTTGACTCTCGCTCCATCACAATCACAAGCAATGCAGGCCATGGCAAGAGTGAGTTAAACAAAGTGTGTCTCTGATACATAGATCGTCATCATTTTTATCATTATCATAGGAATTCACAATTTAAGTAAAACCGATTTATCAGCCATCAAGTAACCAAAGCTTCATTTCCAACTATCTCTGCAAGCATAGCTCATCAAAAACAACTGAAAGATTCACCTGACATATGTTGCAATCTTAGAGCCAAGCTTAGAACTTAGAGCTTGGGCTCTGCTGAGTGCTGGGTTTACCATGTGCTGTGCTAATTGGGGTAGAAGCATCTGCAAGGATCATGAACTTATATTGCCTGTTCTGATGTATAAATAGTAAGCTTTTCTATTGAGTTTTTTAGTGTATTTGAGTAGAATATATTTATGTTTGTTATGGGTTCCAATTAAACTTCTTGTTTTTTATTGATCCAATCCAATAAAACATAACAGGGTATAATACTTACCCAGTGCGATCTCTCTATTCTTCTCAATGTCAATGAATAATTGGGGCTCAAAAGGGTTAAACAATATTTTTCAGTGAATGTTACCATACAATTATTTTGTTTCCAATCAAGATTGTTCAGTGTATGAACCTTTGATAAAATTCAATGTAGGTTTGGTAAATTTAGAATAAAACTCTCAGTATGATAAGTGGTCTTCATAATAAATATTAAATAGTATTCGTACATTTTAAGAATAAGTTTTTACAACCTTGATGCAATCAAGTAGTATAAGAAAGGAGACAGAAATCTTCCACAAAATTATCGTCCTATATCCGTTATTCCAATTTTTTCAAAATTATTTGAAACTGTTATGTACAATCAACTTAGCAACTATTTTGAAATAAACAGACTATTTTCTGAGTCCCAATTTGGTTTTAGACCCGGGCATTCTACGATTTCTGCAGTAATGAAAATTGTCAGTAAAGCACTACATGCCTTTGAAAATAAAGAATCAGCCTTCCTATCCCTATTAGATTTAACTAAGGCATTTGATTGTGTACCGCCTATCAATATCCTTACTAAACTTAACTTTTATGGTGTTTCTGGCGACTCCTTGAAATTAATTGAATCATACTTAATGAACCGTAAGCAATATGTAAATATTATGGGTGCTCACTCATCATTGTGTGATGTCTCCTTGGGAGTGCCGCAGGGCTCAGTTCTCGGACCATTTCTCTTTATTGTAATAATAAATGATCTTCCCAAAAATGTAGGTGTAAATTCTATTATCTATGCAGATGATTCCACGTTTTTTACTTGTAGTAAAAACCTTGACCTCTTGGAGGCCAGAATAACCTCAGCTCAAAACCAAGCACAAGAATGGTTCTCAGCTAACAAACTGCTGTGTAATGAGACTAAAACTCAGAATATTTTGCTCAGTCTTTCACAAAATCAAAACTATCAATCAAAATCAATCATCGATCTAAATCAATCTGTAAAACTGCTGGGAATTCACATAGACTCAAAGCTCACATGGAATGACCATGTTGTAAATTTGTGTAAAAAACTCTCAAGGGTCAATTGTTTGTTTTGGAAACTGAGCTCCATAATCTCTACTGACTATCTGAGGACTGCCTATTTCGGACTCTTTCAGTCTCATATTGCTTATGGTCTCATACTTTGGGGACACTCTGCAAATGTCTCAGATGCCCTGATTCTTCAAAAAAAATTAATTAGAACCATTTGTCAAGCCAGGCCTGGAGATCATAGTAGATGTCTTTTCAAACAATTGAAGATTCCCACAATTATTAACTTGTATATTTATCATGTTTTAATATTCACAAAAACAAATCTAAATTCTTTTTTTATTAGACGTGAGGTACACAATCACAATACCAGGAATAAAAACAAACTTGAAATCCCGCAACATAGGTTAACAAAGTTTGGAAATTCTTACATGGTAAATTGTGTTAAATTTTTTAATAAGCTTCCCGATAATGCTCACACCACTCCTCTTAAAGGCTTCAAAATCAAGTTGTATCAATGGCTTCTAGACAATCCATTCTTTACTATTAATGAGTTTATGGCCACCAACATAGATAATATATTTTAAGTTTTCAAATTAATGATAAGCATTAACTTTTGTTTGTTTGGATGAAGTTTATACCAATTTTATTAATTTAATGTTTATGAAGCTGTTGTTTGGGTACTAGGCTGGAGTTGCAACTTTAGTTTTAATTTAAATATATTTAGATATTATTGATGATTATTATCGATATTATTGATATTATTTGATGTTATTGACTGTATCTATTTATGTTGACCATGCCCATCTCATGTAAAAATGATCAACGGCAATAAATATCTTATGTCTTATGTCTTGCATCTCATGTAAAAAGGTTTCTTTATTTAACATAAAAGTTTTGTAAACAACAAATTTTATGCCACATTCAATTTGAAAACATACCAAACATAGCTAAAAATCTCCATGCCAATGATTATTCACATTAAATTACATAACTGGTAAACAATTATTGAATCTCTTCAAATTCTTGGAAAATTTTAGAATGTTTACCTCTGGCAGCTAATTAGCAATAATCTAGCCATTAAAGTTCCACCATTTTAGAAATGATATGTAACTAACTGTTCACATTACTGCAGCCTGATAAACGGTCTCCAAACTTGGCTGTAAACATCACATTTGTTTCAAACTACACTCCAGAGGATGGATTTATGTTTATTTAATTGTTACGATTAAACCATTTGCTTGAAACAGAGAGTGTTTTAAAATGCATTAGCTTATTGCAGATAATATTTTTATACTGTGTTAGTGTTTACCACAAAATTTAACAAAAGACTATTTCTATCCTTTCAATTTATCCAAATTTTAATATTTGATGAATTAATAAATTGCAGTTAGCTGAACTAACACAAAAAGTAAAAGCCTGTGAGAATGTAAGCTTTTATGTAGGTAGTACAAGTCCTTAAAGCATTGAATCCAAAACAATAATGTTTGTTAGTTTGCTTGCTTGAACTTTTTTGTTGAAAACTGAGTTGACAGTATGAAAAAAGTGTAGTTTGAAAATAATAGTTTTCATCATTAGTAACGAAAGTGACTCTTTTTGGTACGCAATCGTGTTTGTAAATACGATTAAGTAGTAAAAAGATAATTTCACTCCTAGTGATGAAAACTATTTTCATTACCTATACTGTTGAAATAACCGTCTAATTTAAAATAACCTTCTAATTTACAAAACTAGACCACATAAGATGGTTATACAAATTCATCATCAATGTTTACATTTCTGTTGTTTACAAACATAACCTAAAACATTGTGTAATTTGTATTGTTTCCACAATGTACTAAAACAACTATGAGGTTAGTGAACCGATATGTTTTTTTCTGTTCCCTGTTTGATGTTAAGTTACCCGAAAACGATGATTTTGCCGACAATTTAGAGAATTAAAAACAGCTGTTTTTCCTAATAGTGTGATGAAAACAAAGTTTCAGACAGGTCACATTGCTAGAGGGAAAGCCAATCACTACAATATGCTATTTTTACTTTGGTTTATTTTTAATTTGGTAAGTACAAAATCCCAACATGCTCTAAAGTAAACAGGATTTGAAAACATGAAAATAAGGGATTGAATTGCATGAATATATATGACTGGGACGGGTGGCGTGGAATATAAATGACTGGGAATTGTGGATATTTATAGGGTTGCACTGTGGATGCGATGCTCCCTGGTGTGGATTAACGTCCGTGCTAGTGAGTAATATGACTATCCGCAGTACTATCCTAATAATTAGACCAATTCGTTAATTACGAGGAAAAAATGTGGTTCGGATTCCACAATAAACTGTAGGTCCCTTAGTTGCCATTAGCTGTATGGACTATTAATTAACAGCTGTGTCTAAGGAACATGTCGGCCTTAGTCACTAACAAGACTACAAGATCGTGCCACTCATCCTACTCTCATCCTTCACTCATATTTGGGCTAAAATACGCACATAGTGGCGTCCCCATCTTGAATAATTGATAATTTATCAATAATTATTCCTAGTGTTTGCCAAATGCTCGTGAACATATTTTTTTGTTAATAATGAAATTAATTCATCGAAGATGTTTCTGAATTAACTTAAGTTAACAAAATTAACCAAGACAGTTGTTTACAGGTATTGGTGATAGAACGTCGGAGTTGTTGGAAAAGACTAATGCCAGGTTTCGGTCAATCCTCTCGGAGCAAGACAAGCAAGCGTCGAAGGAGAGGGCTTTTAGAAATCCTCTGTTAGTGTCATTGCTGATAACAGAGCCCGAGGTTATCAGAGTCACTCAGGATACTGATGAGAGTTATAACCTCACCATTTCCACAGCCAATGATGGGAAGGTATGATAATTCACTGTACCTACTATGTTTATGATTGTAACATTTTTTTAAAAGATAGATTTAGAATAGGTTTTTAGAGTATTTTAGTGAATAGGATTAACAGCAGGCTTACCTTACTGATATGGAAAGACAAGAATAAACACAAAAATGCAGAGTTTTCAAAGATTCCTTTCTTCAGTAATAGAGTTGTTATTATTGTTGTAGGTTTTCCTTATAACAAAACCTCTACTACTATGAAGAAGACGCTTAGCTCTGAAAATTCTATATTTATGCATTTAGGTATATGATTGCTCATCGCACTTGATTTTTTTCCAATCCTGCTGATACTTTGGGTAAACTAATTTTAAAACACAACAATTTTTTTCCTAAAGTAATAAATATGGAGGTAAAAAAACAACAAAAAACTCTAAAATGCTCTTGACATGGGTTGCTTACAGAAATAACCACTATTGCTAGTTAAGTAAACTGTTAGGTCTGAAATCACTGGACATTGTCTCCCAAGCCAGGTAGAAAACTAGGTCTACAGATAAAACTGTAAATTAAAGGCTCAAATCCCATTTCTGCCAAGTCTGTTGAGTATTTGATAAGTCTGTGGTGGAGCCAGATAGAAGAAATACAAAACTGGACAGCACATGTGAAATTTTATGGAATAGACTTCCTGTAAGTTCACCTGTGACATGTTACTTTTTACAATCCTTTCCTTATCGTTTGTGTGTCCACCAAAACTTGTTTGAATAAATTCAAATTGTTGGTGTTCATTATAGGAGAAAAAACTTTTATAAAAGTAGGCAAAATTGAATAAATCCTGGAATTGAAAGAGCCAATATGATTAATTCCTTGGATGTTAAGTTTGTGCAGGGTGAAGTGAGTGAATTTCCCAAAACTTGTTGATTTCTGTAGGTCATAGCAACAATATCATGCTACACCTACTTCGGCTGCAGACATGGACTAGAGACTCTCGCACAGGTCGTGGTATATGACCACGTATCATCAGGTCTAGTAGTACCTCGTGAATTGGAGGTACGAGACTTCCCCTTATACCGCTACCGTGGCATCCTTTTAGACACAGGTATGTTTGTAGTTCTGAAATGTTAAACTTTCTATATAGGTACATAGTTTCTTCATAGTATTGCCAAACGGCTAAATCATTATAAACAACATCATCATTATAAACACAATAAACTATTCACACACTGTTAACAGAAAAAAAGGATTTTTTTTTTGTTAAAAGTGTGTGTGTCACTTTTAACAGAAAAAAAGGATTTTTTTTTTTAAAGTGTGTGATCAGTTTATTTTTTATATAGGTACATAGTTAGCTGTGAAACAAATCTTTAATCTCTTCCAAGTTAAAAAATCTGTAATATTCATAAGGAACACAATTTTTTGAGAAAGCCATATATGCCTGACACCTATTGTACTCAATTGAATGAAAATCTTAATGCAATATTCCTAAAAGAATTGCAAATAGAGTATTGAATATTCATCAGCTGTTAAATTTGGATTTTTAATGAGCTGCTTATGGTATTATTTTATGTGAGGCAAAATTAATTGTATGCTTCTGCTGCAGTACAGTGGAGTATTACCCCTATAATGCTTTACATAGTACATTGAAGAGAAGTCTGTGCAGCCCACCAGCATCAGTAAAAAAGTATTAATTTGTTTTTTTCAGCTCGTAACTATGTGTCGGTGAAAGGTTTGTACCGACTGATCGATGCTATGGCTGCCAACAAGCTAAACACTTTCCACTGGCATATCACAGACTCTCACAGCTTCCCATTCCAATCTCAATCTTTCCCTCAACTGACTCAGTTTGGAGCTTACTCTCCTGACAAGGTACTGTACTAATTCATATACAATTGCTTCGTTATTATACATTCACAATGCTGTGAAAACGTTTTTTTTTTATCTTCCACGATATAATATTTTTTCAAGGAAAATCTCTAAATAATATACATACACAACTAACCTTTTTAAAAATTGTGGAGCTACAAATATTCAAACCAATACAAAAATGTTCATGATATTTAAATGGAGAATGGCAATTTAAGTGATATAATCAAAGTTTATAATTTTAGTTTTGTCTGAACTTAATACAGGTAATTTTGTTATCTAGCTACTGTGTTTGTATGAATTTAAATAGTTAAGTAACATTTAGAAAATACTACCTGGCCCGACCGACATCGTCCTGTCCTAATGTGGTTTTATGTCAAATGCTCGCTAATTTTCAAGATGAGCACATTCGCTTCGCTCAATCTTGTCCTGGTTGAAGTTCGTTTGCTACGGTTACTTACCTTTAGGTTGTAGCTCGTTCACTGCGCTCACTTGCCTTCAGGTTTAGTTCGTTCGCTACGCTAACTCGACTCCAAGTTGAAGTTCGGTGTTGGATATCATTAATAAATAAACAAAAAATTAAAAAAGTACAGAAGAGGTTAAATTATTAATAGGTTTTACCCTTAAATTGTTATTGTACACAAAGAATTACTGATTATTTTATGTCATGACTCAGGTGTACACAGAGCAAGACATCCGAGAGCTGGTGGAGTTTGCACGCGTGCGAGGAGTCAGGATCATTCCTGAACTAGACGCGCCAGCACATGTTGGTGAGGGCTGGCAGTGGACTGATCCTCACCAGGCAACTGTCTGCTTCAAGAAGGAGCCTTGGCAGAAGTTCTGTGTGGAGCCACCTTGTGGCCAGATAAACCCGACCAGTGATTATGCCTACACTGTACTGCAAGGTTTGTTCGTAGCTTTGTGCTTTACGTTGGATGATCAAGTTTATATAATTATACTAAACTTTAAAGACAATAACAATACAATTAGCTATGAGGGTTGTCCGTGAATTAAGGTCTCGATTGATCATGTGATAATCAAGCAATTTCAAATCTGACACCATCGTCAGGCTTTTTACTTCATCCATTACTAGCCGGTTCCCCCCATTATGAGATGATTAGTATGGCCAGTATTCAAACATGATGAGAAAAAAAATTATGCTCCCACCTGTATGAATGCTTTAGTTGCCAATGGCTGTATGGGCTATTAATTAACAGCCCTGTCTAAGGAACGTGTCAGCCTTAGTCATGTTAGTCTTGTTACTGAACAAGACTACAAGATCGTGCCACTCTTCCTACATTCATCTCCATTCATATTGGCTTAAAATACCCACCTTCATAAGGTCACCATATAGGTTTTTGTTGGAAGGGGGTTAGTCCCTATCTTGATTACTGGTCTTGATCATAGTCCTGGTAGCCAGTAGTGGGTGCTTGTCAGTTGATATTTATATTACTTTGCTTGCTGATCGTTGTGTTTTAGACATAGATCACAATTCTTTTGTTTACAAGTTCATTGACTTCATTCTGAAAATACACTTTAGAGAAATTGTGTAAGGGCCTTTCACTAGTTTCCAGAATGCAAGGTTGCCCCTAATGCTGTTGAGGATATACCAAGTAAGACTCACTTCTCTTGCAATGAAGTCTTAGACGGAAAACCTAGACTAGCGAGTGTTCATAATATTTTTTTCGTAGTCAACGAGGATATAATGAATAAAAGTTACACAATTCCATCTTCATGTAAACCATTTTCATCCTTTTGGGTCACATGTTTACATCCTTAGTGTCATATTTAGATCAGTAAAAGATCAAACTTTACACTATACGAGGTGTGGCTAGAAAAAACCCGAACTGATGCTGAAAAAAAAAATTTATTTACAATTATTTACAATTTGATGTTATCTCCTTCAATGTACTCTCCTCCTTGGTCTCTACACCGCTCCATACGAATTTTCCACTGTTCATAGCAACGCTGCAGATCATTTTCAGTAAGTTCATACATTACTTCCGTCGCTTTTTCTTTTACTGCTTCAACACTCTCAAATCTAGTTCCTTTCAAAGCTGACTTGACTTTAGGGAAAAGAAAGAAGTCACAGGGGGCCAAATCAGGTGAGTAGGGTGGATGGTCTAAGATGGGAATGTTGTGATTGGCTAAAAGCGTCTTCACTGACAACGCATTGTGAGCTGGCGCATTGTCTTGGTGCAGGATCCATGACTTTGTTTTCCACAAATCGTTCCGTTTTCTCTGTACTCGCTCACGTAGGGTAGTCAGAACACTATTGTAGTAATGCTGATTCACTGTTTGTCCCTCTGGTACCCAATCAATGTGCACAATCCCTTTGATATAAAAAAAAAAAAAACAATCATCATTGCCTTGAATTTCGATTTTGACATTCGTGCCTTTTTTTGTCGTGGGGAAGCAGGAGATTTCCAATGCATCAATTGGCGTTTGGTTTCGGGATCGTAAGTAAAAAACCACGATTCATCACAAGTAATAACATTTTGTAAGAAGGTGGGATCACTTTCAATGTTTTCTAAGATGTCAGAACAAATCATTCTTCGGCGTTCTTTCTGTTCAATTGTGAGACACTTTGGAACCATTTTTGAACACACTTTGTTCATGTTGAAACTTTCATGAAGAATCTGCCTAACACTTTTCTTGTCAATACCTGTCAAATCAGACATTGCTCTGATTGTTAAACGGCGATCTTGTCGAACAAGTTTACCAATTTTTTCAATGTTTGCATCAGTTTTTGCTGACAATGGTCTGCCAGTACGAGTGTCATCACTTGTGTCTTCGCGGCCATCTTTAAATCGCCTAAACCACTCAAACACTTGTGTTCGCGATAAACATAATCATCGCCGTACACTTGTTGTAACATTACAAACGTTTCACTTGCAGATTTTCCAAGTTTGAAAAGAAATTTGATGTTAACACGCTGTTCTTTTTGTACACTCAACATTTTTCCGACGCACAGACAAAACGACAACTACTTAGAACAGACGCCACGGGCAGACTGAGTAAAGAAGGCAGATGAAACTCGAGCAGTAGGTGGGGCGAGAGTCACGTGACAGACCACGCGACTTTCAGCCTTATTGCATTCGTTTTATTGTTGCACCGGGACTTGTCCGGTTTTTTTCTAGCCACACCTCGTACACAAGACATTAGTTCACCGTCTTGAACTATCTCTTCCTTAGATGAAAATGCTATAAATGACAGTGAAATATTCTGCTTAGTTGTGTATGTAGTATAAAGTGTTGTCTCTTGTGCCAGTTTGGACTCTTTCCGATTCAGATAAGCCTGCTATCTTCACAAAGAAATCATAAAAACCTAGACCCTTGTGCTTTTTGTAGCTAAATTTTTGTAAGGTGATGAAGCTGTAATATTGTCTGCCAGGTATCTATAAAGACATGGAGAAGCTGTTCGATTCTGATCTGTTCCACATGGGAGGGGATGAAGTGAACCTGAACTGTTGGAACTCAACAGAAAGCATCACTGATTGGATGAAGAGTCACAACCTCAAGACAGATGAAGATGGCTTCCACAGGTTGTGGGACAAATTCCAGACCAGAGCTCTTCAACAATTGGATTCAGTCAGTCAAGAAGAGCACCCAATAGGTATGTGTAACATACCTAGTTGTTGTAAAATTGAGAAATTGAATACAGTAGAGCAAGAATTCAATATTGGTGATAACTGGTTATCCTGTAAGTTGCTTGTATTTAGAATCTTTGAGGTCCACGGCAGCCCTCACTAGAGAGGAACCTCTGGTGGAAATTCCTCTTAAGGTTGGAACTCAAGGGTTAAGAAATACACGTGGTATTGCTTGAACTCAATAAATTAACCTTTATTTCCAACAATCCAATTGGCGAAAGAGCCTAGGAGACTAGTTAATAAATAAGTCTATTAGTTTTTTTTTATAATAAGATTAAGGGGTCTTAGGTTGGACGAGACATTTTTTATTTCTTTAGGGTTGAGTCAAAATGGTGACATTCGGGCATTGGATCAAAATCCGGTATGGTAGTTTAAAGAAACAATTAATTTAAAAATATTAATTGATATTGTTTAAAGGATTATTGCGGACATTTTCCATTACGATGGTAAAAAACAATACACAACATTTCGGGATCTGCAGGTGAAAAAATCTTAACTATCGTAGTTCAGATTGGGTATGTTAGTTAGTTTATCTTAGTTTTTTTTTTTTTTTTTTTACTGCTACTCTTGTAGTGTATTCCAACATAGGTTGGGCGTTTCTGTATTGTTAGTTGTAATGTGTAGTTAAGATTTTTTCACCTGAGGACAGGATCAGATTCCAGATCCCGAAACGTTGTGTATTGTTTTTTTACCATCGTGATGGAAAATGTCCGCAATAAACCTTTGAACAACATTAACTCACCATCACCAACAATGAACTTCAAACAAAAGATTTAATTTATATGCCACAATTGGTTTATACAAAATATGTAATCGCGGCCAAATTGTAAGCGTCTTCTGCACTCTCAGTAAAATTGTGGACATCTGCCATGGTTGCCGGAGGGATCGTGAACATCTTCTACATTCACAATAAAATAGTGAACATCATGCATAATCGCAGAGACGTCATCTTCGTCTTCTGCGATCACGACGAAATCATACGACACAGGATGTTTATTTATAGACTCTCACTGGAGGCTTGAGTCAATAAAATAATCTTGACCTTGGAATCAAGATTGATTACGAACGATGATGATAAACTGGCAATAAGCAATATTTTTTAGGATAAATACAAAATAGCTTATTTTCTTAGTAGCATCCTGTTGGTTTAGCGTATTGTTGAAGGTACAAAAAAGCAGAGATTCCTAGGAAGCAGCGGTTAAACCAAACTGCTCTCAAAACAAGGTTGCTTAAAATAAATTGTAATATTTTATGAGCGAGGGCGGATAATACGATGATTGGTTAATGCGAGGTCGATTAAGTGGGGGTCTACCATCTTCATCCAATAACCCCTTCAATTATCTTTTATTTAAACTAAGAATCATGAAAATCAGTCAAGTGATTGATTAAGAATATTTGGTCAAAAACCCTTTCACATTTTATATATAAAATGTGAATATATAAAATGTGAATGAGTTTCAGTAAGAACATTTATATTTTTCCTTGATTTACCTCGTTTCTTGACTTTTCTGTGGTAAATGATAATAGTTTTTGAATTCGGAGCTTAATTTTGTTCATAATAGTGGAAATAACTTCAATTTAATGAGATACCTGAGATTTAATTACCATGTTTTCTTGTTTTTTAGTATTGTGGACCAGTTCCCTAACGGAGAAAGGTCGTGTAGAAAAGTTCCTTGACAACTCACGATATATCATCCAGATCTGGACCACTGGTAATGATGCAATCATTGCTGAACTGGTCAACAAAGGATTCCGAGTAATATTTTCTAACTACGATGCACTTTACTTTGACTGTGGGTAAGCGATTTACATGTAATGTACCCTACTTAATAACTTATACTATCTACTACTACAGCCTATTAGGCAGTACTATAGCTTAACTACCAAACATACTCCTTATACATTTATGACAAAATTTCGGATAGAGAGACAAAATTGGATTTTAATATGAAGGTTTAGTGGAATAATGCGTAATAGTTGTCTCACCTGAAATTACACCTTAAAATTTGTCCAGATAGCCTAGCCTACAATGAGATAGTCCAGGATTCTAACGTGTTTGTTAATCAATTTCGTTACCGGTATGTGTTTATTGGCTCCAGATCATGTAGAGGACACTTTGTTGTTTACTATTTGTTTCTTGTTATTTAACCAATTTTAAAATGGTTAGACTAAATAAAAATATATACTTATTTATCATTGCTTGTAATGTATTTATTAATTCACTCTAATTATAAACTCGTAGTAAAGTCTACAATTTAGTACTAGCCTAATACTTAATACTAACTACCACTTACTTCAGATATTTGACAGGAAAAGATACTTTGACATTAATTTCCTCTCACAGGTTTGGTGCTTGGGTAGGAGAAGGCAACAACTGGTGCTCACCTTATATTGGCTGGCAGAAGGTCTATGAAAACAATCCTCTCAAGATGCTGATGAAACTTGGAGTGAATATGACCAAGGAAGAGATGCGACGGTTGGTGCTTGGCCAAGAGGCAACTCTGTGGACTGAACAGGCAGATGATCAAGTAAGTCTTGTGGTCATATATAACAGAGCTCTTGGCAAAAACAGGTATTACTGTACATACCGTACCTCCGTCAAATAGTCCGATTAAATTGCTCAGTAACTTCCATGTTTCGATGCGAAGACAACATTTTTAAGGCATGCAACTTGTCAAAAACATAGCTTGAACATAAAAATGTGTTACCAACCCCACACTGCACCGGACTAATATTTAATTCATCAGTATTATAAGCACTATTTTTTGTGTTCCTTTTAGCAAATTTCCCATATAGGGAATAAGCTATTAATTTTGTTTTTGACAAGTTGCAAGCTTTGAAAATGACGTCCAACGATTAAACTGCTCAGTAACTATAGCTTACATGTTTTGTTGCGAAGACAACATATTTAAAGTTTGAAACTCGTCAAAAAGCGTTGGACTATTTGACAAAGGTATGTAAAACCTATTTTTGTCTTATCAAAATAGTCCAGGGGCCAAAAACATGAATTTTTATTTCAAGCCATTGCTCACTTTTAAACCAGAATAGGTAATAAAAAAAAATAACGTTATATTGTCTATCTTAAAGTCTAATGACTAGTCAATGAATCACTAGTTTCAGGCCAAATGGCCATTATATTATCTAATCCAACATCAAACTGAAGACTTTACCTATACAATAGTATATTACCTATATAATAGTATATTATGTTACTAGTCCTGAAAATAGGTGCTTACCGGACGAGTGTGGTTGTTACCGTGCTAGACGAAGTTGAGTACGGGTTTACCATACGAGTTCGGTAACATTTTGGACGAGTGACGTATGATATTTTACGCCATACTACTAAATCTGTACAAATTTTTATATATTACCACCAACTAAAGGACTTACAATCACTAGTCATAACCTCAGAGGTTATGTTTTGTTTATAATCACTCATTGCAAAATACAATATAATCAGCTGTTTGGTGTCCGGTAAAAACTCATTACAGGACAGTAGTACGTAATGAACCCCCGTTTGATTAAGCTGGCGACAAACAGCTGTTTTCTGGACTATATCTGGTATTTTGATATTATCCAGAGGCCACTTATTTTAGAAAGATTTTTTTACCGGGGAACAACAATAACTACCTAATTGGAAAGAACATACTTTAATTGACTTACTGTCCAAATTTTACATGATTACAATTCGCGGCCTTTGAGTTCTGCCTCCCAGAAGGCAGCGATGTCGGCGAGCATTGAGTTGAATGCGCCTCCGCCGCTGTACTCTGCAAAAAGGTATATAGCGATCTGCGGTGGTTATGTTAGGTTGGGTTATCATAAATATATTTGTAGGACTTTCCTCATTTCGTTATGAATTGAAAAATACCATATGAGTCATACTTTCGCCCACCCCAGATACAGGCGGTGACAAGTGATTTGCGCGCTCCGGTCAACGACCTGACCTTGGCCTACTATAAGTATGACTCATTTGGTATCGTTTGATTTATAACGAAACGAGGGAGGTCCTACAAACATATTTTTTATGATAACCCGACCTAACATAACCGCCGCAGCGCACTGTGTAAGGGTGGACTCCGTATGATACCAAAATACCCTAAATTCTTGCGTGGGAAGTTCATCAAAATGGAGTAGTGAGGTGTAAATGTCTTTACGCCATACTACACTATTTTGACGAACTTCCCATGCAAGGATTTAGTCCAGAATACAGCTGTTTGCCGCCAGCTTAATCAAATGGGGTTTCATTGCGTACTACTGTACTGTAATGAGTTTTACCAGACACCAATCAGCTGATTATACTGTATTTGGGTGGCAATGAGTGGTTATAAACAAAAACATAACCTCTCTTAGAGGTTATGACTAGTGATTGTTAGTCCTTTAGTCGGGGGTAATATATATGGGTTTTTACGAATTTAGTAGTATGGCGTAAACTATCGTACGTCACTCGTCCAAAATGTGTTTACCGGACTTGTATGGTAATCCCGTACTCGACTTCGTCTCGCACGGGAACGACCACACTCGTCCGGTAACCACTTATTTTTAGGACTAGTAACGTAATACTATTACACAAATCAATATCTTTATTATTTATTATTGTTATTGTGTAATCTTAATAGTTTTAAACTCGGACATAGGAAATAGCAGTTAAACTATTGTTAAACTACTTCCTTGCTATCGGAGTTTAAAACTCGGTACAATTTAAATTCTAAACACCATTGAGGTGACATCTTTTAGTTTTTGGTCACATTAAACTATGACACAGGTAGTTAGACACGAGGCTCTCAAACTAGATGGGAAACCATCACAGTGTTGTATGGAGAATGGTATCTGTCTTCCCTTTTACACCCTCCCTCACCGCCACAATTTTTTTCCTAAACTGACCGTAGAGTGTGCCAAGTAATAGCTGTCTAGATTGTATTCCGGTGAACACTGTAAGAGCGTGTATCACACTCATTTTACCATGATGAGAGGTGTGTTCTCAGTAGAAATGTGATAATATTTTTAAGGGCTAGTGCCATTTCTGCTCCTGGGCGCTCTAAACCTGCTTGACTTTGCCATGGCATTAATCATTGTAATTATCCTAGGTTTAGTTTGATAAATTAGTTAATCAACTGATCAATTAGTTTGTGTTTTACCTTGTTGCAGGTGATAGACCAGCGCTTATGGCCTAGAGCAGCTGCTATGGCAGAGCGTCTGTGGAGTGACCCAGAGGAGACATGGAAGGCTGCAGAGCATCGCTTCCTTCATCACAGAGAACGGATGGTTTCTAGAGGTGTGCGGTCCGACACTATAGAGCCTCTATGGTGCTTGCAGAACCAGGGACACTGCTACTTATAAAAAATTGATTTGCTAGCAAAAAATATATATTTCAACATAAAAATGTAAGTTTTTTTTACCTGTTTTATAATCTAACAATCCTGTAAATGTTCAGTGACTTTAGCTGTTTTTTACTCATGAGAATACCAACAAGTTAAAAGAGTTGTCTAGTTCCTCCAAGGTAGGGTTGTCATAATAGGTTTGTGACGCAAAATTCTAGAGGAGGGAATAAACTCGTATTCACAAAATCAGGACCTCACTAAAAATTTCTTACCGGAGTGCTCAGAAGGAGCCGAAAAAAACCAGGGGTCGATACGAAGCTGTTCGTGGTTTTAGCTGATTAACTATTTTAGTTTAATCGAAGGCTCGTAGCTCTAGAATCGCCCAGGAAATTATGCAAATGCTCAGTTCATGCTATATCATCCTCACCTTCATTAAAGTGTTTTCAGAAATTTTGTCTAACATTTAGTAACTTCTTAATCAGCATTGTACAAAGGCCACACTAAAAAAAACAACATGCTCGTCAAGCATGACGTCACGATAGAAGACGACAATGACGTAATGTTTGCCAATTGTGATCAGCTGTTTGTTTTAATCATTCCTTGAAAAATAAATAAATATCTACAACATTGTCGTAGATATTTACTTTCCGTAAATTTAATAACACGTACAATCAAGGCCACACTAAAAAACAGGCGGTAATGCTCGTCAAGCATGACGTCACGATAGAAGACGGCAATGACGTAATGTTTGCCAATTGTGATCAGCTGTTTGTTTTAATCATTCCTTGAAAAATAAATAAATATCTACAACATTGTCGTCTTCTATCGTGACGTCATGCTTGACGAGCATTACCGCCTGTTTTTTAGTGTGGCCTTGATTGTACGTGTTATTAAATTTACGGAAAGTAATAAAAGAAAGGTCTTATAACACTTAAAACATATATTTACGCTTATACTGTTACTCACAAGACGGTAAATATACAAAAAATATGGTATGGTAAGATGGTCACTACTAGGGATGCCATTCAAGATTGTCATTCGCCTATTGGGTCTGATGATGATTGGAGTGTCCAATCGAAATCGAACACCACTTACCATCTTTTTTGCATATTTACCGTCTTGTGAGTAACAGTATAAGCGTAAACATTTGTTTTAAGTGTTATAAGACGTTTCTTTTTTTACTTTCCGCTAACATTTAGATCAACTCTGTAGGGCAGACGAGTATTCTATCTTTTTAGTACTTTTAAAAGTACTTTTAAGTACTTTTATTACAGTATTTATTATTTATAACTAAAAGCTCTAATAAAGAATGTACTTATGGTAATTTACTGATCAGAATACAATATAAAAATTCCTACAGAGTCTTCGGAGCCAGATTAATAAATCTTTATCAGAACAAAGAATTTAGCGTGATGAGGTCGAATAAATTTAATTTTTTTTTCTTTGTGATTGATCAAATTAGTATGCTGTATGCCGATTCCCAAAATATCAGCCGAGTAGTTTAAGAGTCGACAGGAGTCAATAATTTCGCATTTTTGTTGACCGTCAGATACCAGGCTAAACAATGGTTGTCCTAGCCGCCGATCAGCAAAAACATGCGTTAACGTTGAAGCATATTAATTATGCACCGTAAGCTTGATTACCGAGCAAAAAATGTTATGTGAGTCTAAAATATATTTTCTGTGTGAATTGCTTTTTGGATTTTTAAAACTTTTGTTTTAGAGGTTGAAAAAAATCACAGTTTAAGTAAATATATTTCTGTAGTTTGACAAAATAATAACAATTAAAACTAAAAAGTAGATAGAAAATCACATCCACAGTTTCAATAGCTTTAAAATGAGATGTTTTACAACTTTTTATCTTAATAAACAATGCCAAAATATTCTTCAACCATTAACAATGAAGTTATGGGCAGAAAATCCAAGATGGCCGGCGTACCTGCTGACTCTTAAGCAATTTCTCCTGACAACTGGTAAAACAATGGTAAAACTTACTAAAAAGGACATAAAGTTTTCGGTTTTTGGTACTTTAGACCCCTGTAGTTCCCAAAACTAAATAAAAAATTGTAAATAATTGTTGACCAGACACCTTTAACCCTCCGAGTGTCCCTAGTTTTGGCCTTAATGTTTGCCTATTTTTTGCGCATTTGCAAGGTTTTATTAAAACGGATCTGAGAAGCTTAAAAACAATGTTAATTATACTGTTCTATATACCATTTTGTTTGGAAAATCATGGGCTTCAATATTATACATAAAACATAAGGAACATTTGTTTCAAAAAATTTTTTTAGGTAAAAAAAAATATTTTGGATAATTAAAAAAAAAAATAAGTTTGTGCTCAATGTATAAATTATAGGCCTATAAATATTTGAAAATTGCCACTTTGTTCAGAATTTTATGAGGATTCAAAAGATATAATAATATAAGGAAGTGATTTGCAAATAAATAAGTTATGGGCAAAAAACAGATTTCGGTACATAGCGTTTAGCTAAGAATGCATAGCCTAACCATAGCTAGGAATCTGGCTGATAATTTACATCAATATCACTACCTACTTCTTCAGGATCATCAACCAGCCCTTCAAAATCACTTAAATCTTCTTATAATGCACCACGTATATCACTACTTTTGATTTTTAACACTAAAACAATGATAAACGTAATAAAACGCATCAGTCATCGGTGCGAGGTTAACCAAGCTGTTTACAAATACGCACGTCAGCTATCTGCTACAATTATGATCAGCTCGAGAAAAAAAAGCGCTTCGAGACAGACCTCGGGAGAAAGCTTAGAATCTGCCAAATAAAACGATACCTAACTCGATCCAGTTCAATCCGATTTTGTCAGTCATAGAGCCTTCGCCGTAACCAGTGTTTGTGAGTCGAAAAATCGACACAAAACACTACACAAAGTGTGTATTGTGTCGATTTTTCGACACATAACACTCGGAGGGCTAATTTAGTAGTGGAGGCGTAATTATTTTGCCAATATGACACGTATGTTTTAAAATCAAGTTAAATGTTACGCTTTTAGCCCTACTTTGTTTGAAGACTTTTTCATTGTTTCCAACTTCCTTACATCCCAGATACCTATCCCTGCTACTACTACCCTAATCCCTAACTCATACCACTCCTCCTACTACACAATACCACTCCCTCCTAATACTGCTACCTACTACTACTACTACCTACTAGTACTACTACTACTATTTAAGGGAGTACTAAATGTAACTCCCTTATATATCTGCTTTCCTGTTTCAAGTATGCCTTTCTTACCTCCCTACTACCCTTCTCCCTACCTACCCTTCAACTCATTACCTACCTAACCCCTCCCTTCTTCATCCACCCCTTCGGGAGGTTTTATGGGGTAAAAAATGGTTTTTCTCATTTTTGACCCTCAAAACACAAAATTTCCCAATTTCTCTCTAGACCTTTTTAAAGAGTTTAAAAAAACAAATAATTTAGTATATCAAAGTGTTTTTGTACGGTTATTGGTAATGGAGAAAATTCAAAAAATTGTAAATTTAAAATTCCCATGTTATTCTTATGGAGAATATTGTAAACTGTCATATTTTGCTTGTTTTGGTGATATATTTTGATCAAACTTGGCAAATTTATTTATTTTATACTAAGCTATTAATATTTTACTAAAATACACACTTTATTAGTTTCCTTGTAGCAGCAAACCTAGGTCTTCATTAAACCTAAAATGTTATTTAAATAAATTTTATTGAGAATCAATTCAGACAAATGGAAATTCGCTTAGTCGGCAGGTTTATTTTTTTTTAGTGTGGCCTTTGCAAGACCTGGAAAATCTTTAAACCGGAATAGTGGGGTTTTTGTTCAAACAATTTAGTCTGTGTTGTTGAGCATGAATTCCTTTGTTACTAGTGTTGTATTTGTGATTTATGAAGTGAGGTTGAATCAGTTGTTAAAAGAAAGTGTTGAAAAGAACAAAAAGAAACTTGAAATTATGGGTCAAACATGGCTATGGGATGAAACCATTGCTACTTACTTTGAAGTTTTGACAATGAATATTGTGGGAAATAATGGTGATGTCTATCTGATGAATTCAGTGCTAGTGGAGGCAGTTAATGGGTTGGAAGACATCAATGTTATATTGGATCCTTTACTCCTAAAAGAAAAAAACATCCTACTTATCCCTATTAACAACGCTAAGTATGATCCTACAAATAAAGATAGTTACAAAACTGTAGAAGGCTCACACTGGAGTTTAATTGCATATGAAAAGCAATCAAACAATTACTACTACTACAACTCAATTAAAAAATAGCTCTAGTTTAGACACTGCAAAGCTAGTATGTAGTAAGCTCTCGAAGTACTTGCGAAATACGGAAGAATCTAATATCTTAGCTGTTCAAGGGCCAGTACAAAGGAATTCATATGACTGTGGTGTTTTCATGCTACATGCTGCTGAGCATATTCTCAAGCACTACAAAAGCGAAGATTTCTTCAAAACTCTAAATATCCCTGACTTGTCTGAAACGGAATGTATACAAAAGAGAGTGATTATTGCTTACATAGTGATCAATAACTTTTCAACACCAAAGAGCATTATTCAGTCACTTGTTCTCCAGACAGACCTTCATTCAACACCACAACCTAGCTGTATTGACTCTGCGGTGCAAACAGACATTGTGTCAGAACCTATTGGAATTGATAACTCCAAAGTTGTTGCATCAGGTAAAACTGATTCTTTAATGAAGAAGCAAAAAGAAAATACATGTCTCAAACAAAAAACAACAAAACAAATTATTACTATTCTAAGTGACAGCCATGGAAGAAGGATTGACCAGCTTTTGAAAGACAAGTATGATCAAAATATTGAAATTAATAGTATTATAAGGCCAGGTGCAGTGATAGATCGCATCATAGAGGAATCTCAACATGTTGTGCGTACACAAAACAACCATGTCATACTTATTGCTGGGGCAAATAATATTTATAATGGACAGACTGAGTCGTTATGCAAAAAATTAAAATCACTCGTAACATCCTTGAAACCTTGTAAGGTGACTGTAGCTAGTGTTCCTTTTAGGCACGA